TTCCTGCTCTTCCTGTTTCTGACAATGCACCGCTATTCGAATACTTAATACATGTTCATTTAACCTTCATCCGCTAAATCTCCATGCCTTTTAATCATGATTCACTACATATACATTTATATTCGTATCTCATCCATACCCATGCTACAGTTTTTCCTGGTACTTATTCATTTAATTTTTGCGTGCATGTCTTTTATCAGTTTTGTTAACAATCATCGCCTTTTTGATGTGCAATGACGTTTCTACTGAGGCTGTCTCTTATACACATCTAGATGTGTATAAGAGACAGCAGCACATCGATGTTAGCACACCAATGTTAGCACATCAATGTTAGCACATCAATGTTAGCACACCAATGTTAGCACATCAATGTTAGCACATCAATGTCAGCACATCAATGTTAGCACATCGATGTTAGCACATCAATGTTAGCACATCAATGTTAGCACATCAATGTTTGCACATCGATGTTAGCACATCAATGTTAGGACATTGAAAAAGTATTCATCAAATGAAGGTAACATATCAACCCCTTCGTAGGCAACGTATTCTTCGTTGACTGGATTTGCTCTCATGCAGCTTCCACAACGCGCATCAGACTGATGATCTCATGCACTTTCCATGTAGTTACAGGACTTGAATGCTGTGTCCAACCTCACTGTTAACTGAGCAAGCTATGCAGGCGCGTGAACTTGTTTATGGAATATTCATCTTCATTCACTCCCCGGCCTACAAAATACTTTACTTAAAATACTTTTGGTGCTAGTGAATTGGCATGAACTACGCTAGAGTTAGGTCTCTAGAGCGCGTCCCAGACAGACTTGTAAGTCTCCCCGCATTATATATATTCACAATGACTTCCAGTCTCGTTTCATTCACATTAAAAAAACTATTTATGTCTGTATTCGCTTAATTTAGATATATCTCGGAAAAATTGGGTGGTCTTGCTTATCATGATGATCACGTCTACAATGTGTTCTCCACCACCCTAGGAAGCCCTAGCTCCTTGATAACATGGAGCTACGGTACGTCTGGTAATGATCGATCAGGGCGGTTACAGGGTGTGGATCTGATCAAAGCTCTGCGGGCGAGCGGGATCCAGAGTAGCTGATCCGCTCTTATCAGCCGGAGAGGGTGGTCATTTTTTATTGAGTTTTTGGGTGCTCTTTGAAATCAAAGGAAGAGAAGAGAGCCAAGCGATATGCTTCCTTAATGAGACCAATAATTATAAGAGATACGACCTGCATCATCGCAGCCTTTGAGCCAAAATCGCGGAACTCGTTAAGTCGTTTCAGCGAACCTACTTCACTTGGAGGTAGCGAACTGCTTACGTGATGCTTAATTAAGACCTTCTATTGAGCTAATATACTTGCAATTAACGAGGCGTTTCTACTGAGGAATGCTATTCCTACGATAAGATGAACAAGGCTGTGTCGGGTTGGTTTACGTGTGTCAATCTTGACATCAAACTCCGCTCGCAAGCACAAAGCTTCATCAATTCGGTGATTGTTCGGCTCTCTAGAATATGACGATCCTTTCTTCATTGAAGGGTAATATTTGCAAAGTATTACCATAATGAATATCATGAAATATTTCGGAGAAAAAAATTTTATGTTGGAGTTTAGTCTCGTTAAATTAAATACTTAACGACATCATAACACGTGAACAAATGGCATAGTAGCCCTTATAGAGACCGATAGAATATATTTATATAACCCGATTTCTTTAAAGTAAACAAAAAGCTTTTATTTGTTATTATCCACGCTTTTAGACTAATTTGTTTAGTTCATTACAACTTTTTCAGTGTGTGCCTTTTTTATAGGACGAGTTATAGGATTCTATAAGGATATATAAGGATAATGACAATATAAGGATAAGGATATATAAGGATAAGGACAAACTATAGGATATAGGATAGGATATTTTTATAGGACTCATCAATTCCACCATAGTAGTTGCATCGTTACTTAGATTCGCCTCATTCAATTTACTTTAAAATTATATACTCACTAAGTTTACTTCTGATAACTGAGCATGTGAAGACAAGCATTTATGTGAGCAATGGATCTGGCAATACCTGATCTTGTTTCTTTAATTGTTTTTCGTGTATTACATATTGACTTATATTGACTTAAATTGACTTATAGCCGGACTTGTGTTAAGCATTCTGAGACTGTGCACTTTGTTAAAACCTTATAGAAAATGCATGTAATTCTGGCGTTGGAATTCAATCATTAGTGTAGAAAACCAAGACTTGTAAGGGTTCTGATCTCCAAAACTTCCATTTGATCTTCATTCTTGCATTCAAGTATTTTCGGACCTCGAAATCGTGTATGATTATTTTCCTCATCAAATTCCACACCTCGAGCAATAGAATAAACAAGTATGAAATTCTTTTACTTGTCGAGTACGGACAGCCTCGCACAATTTGAGTTCATTTGTACGTTTCTAATAAGATAACTAAAGTCCTTCGACAACAAATGGCAATCGTCTAAGACTTTTAGGCAAAAAATATACGCGGGGATTCCAACAATTCGTGCCTTGCATATCATTTCGACGAGCACGAAGTTATTTCTCGCTCTGATTATTGGATCGATTAAGAAGAGCTTCATAATATAAAATTAATGATGACACGTACGGCATTCAGCCGTCATATCGACGCACCACTTACGCATGACCGCATCGCGATCTTCGTATCGATGTCTCCGTGTAGAAGTTTTTACACGACACGGCGTCCCGAGGTTGCCTGCTAATTAGCTTCATTATAGAACGCTGTCAAGACGACGCGTCACCTTGCCGTTGACGGACTGATCGCGACATTTTTCTTTCGGGGCCTGAGGATCGTTGAATAATTCTAAGGCCCTGTGGCTATATGTAAGAATGTTAAAATATATCTCGGTGCGGGTTGCTGTGATGATACTTGTGAATAATTTCAAAGGGCCGTTGACATCTCTTCGTTAGACCTGTACGTTGCCATGCTCCGCCAGCGGTACAGTTAGCAGCTTGTGGGTTGAGGTAATCCGACTTGTGCTTGGTGACGCACGTAGTTTATTTGCAGTTAAATCAACTTGAGAACAATTACATGTAGAAGTGCTTTCCATTAGAATATATTAATATTTCGTAGTGCAGTTGCTCCTGAATATCGGATTATTTTAAGGTGTGGCTTTTCAAAAATTTCGAAATAATTCAAGGATTATGCTAGAGAATATCTGTATGTTTCAAAATGTAATTGCCGATGTATTTTTTTAAATTTCCGGGTCTGGTTGCCTAGGAATATTTTAGCATTTGAAGGTAAGGTGGCTACAATTTATTGAATCATTTACAATGTGATAATACAACTAAATTAGAATAATAAAAAAGTCTGGTCGCACTTTTGTAAGGAAAGTTTTTAAGGTGCGGTTGAGTATATAGCCGAATACATTGAAATAATTTAAATAGTAATTATCGAAATAATAATTATCGAAATGTGGCGAAATATTACAAAGCACAGCTGCCCGAAATAGTTTTAGGTGCGGTTTTTAAGTCAATCAGAATATTACAAAGTCTAGGGATGAAAGAATTAATCATTTTAAGTTGAGGTGATCCAGGTACATCGAAATCATGGTTCAACCATGCATCGAAATATTGCAAAGTGCGGTTAAAAAATGAATAAAAATATTTTGCAGTGTGGTTTCCATTAATGAATAATCGTAATATTGCAGGGAACGGTTGCCCGCGGATAACTTCAAGCTTAGTTTCGTCATTTACATTATGAAATTGTACTTCGTTGCCGTCGCGTTGAATGAGCACAGCGCAACAAGTGCTGTGATTCCATTTTATTGTGCTTTGACGATATTAATTTCACAGACAAATCCCTGTCGAAATTATGTGACATAAATAAACTCCACGCAAGTGAAACGTATTATTCTAAACTTCGTTTTTGTAATACGTTTTGTACTGTGTTTTTTGTGTTGTGTAAAAATATTTTAAATTAATTTAATGTTAATGGGTTTTCCATATTATTCTATTTATTCTCCTTATAACAGAAAGTGTTCATTAATTCCTAGAAAATGAGATCAAAGGTCTAATTTGAGCATAGATATTATTGTTTAATTGCACGATATTAGATATTATTATTATATATTATTGCAGGAAATTTCACTTAGTTCCTTGGCACAAGTAGCAATATCTATCGCATGCAAGCAGCGACACCATAAAGGGAGGAGGGTGAGCTTCCTCTAGCAGTTTCTTAACAGCCGCGCTCACAAAGAGTGTGTATCTCTTCCGAAGCCAAGTCGTGTGGAAGACGCTATAGGCGGCCATTCTTGCCGGCATTTTGAAGAGCTCAATAAGCTCCTAATAATTCCTCAAACTTATCTCTCGAGAGTTCCTCCCCTTTTCCGCAATCCCCATCTCCCCCATCAATAGACCACTTACTCTCGCCAACCTTTAAGGTTCCTACAGCTTTTCGCCAAAATATTCAACATGTTTCATAATTCAATCAAGTGTTAGATTGGTATACCATAAAATAAACGATGTCAAGCGCACGAAAACTTAGCCTCCGCGTCCTATTGTTCAACCTTAGGGGCAAAATTTGTTTAAGGCTATCTTTCATGTAAGACAACGCACCATTGACTAGAAAAATTTAAGTAGTGCATGTGTCGGACCACTGCATGGCATTTGGCATGTTTTATAAAAAGTGGTAAAAGTTACTAAACTTTGGATGTTATCCAATATCTATACAGTTTATGCTAAAAGACACAAAATATGATTGAAAAAATATTGATCTTTAGCGTTTCCCCAGAGGGTGATATGCTTTGTATTTTATTTTTTAACTTTCCCAACTTTATGGGAAGACTTTCGGGAAACATAAGATTTGTTAGATCTTTTATGGTATTCCAGTTTGTTCATGTTTCCAAGTTAAGGAACTGATGTTTCTGAAGAAGCCTTGACTTATTATACTCTTTATGAGGTTTTTGGGCGCTCACCCCCTCGACTCAAGGTGCCGACAGATAAGATTCTGGAAAGAGCGTCAATAAATTTCCGCAGCAACGAGTCGCGTTTCTTAGACGCGGTATCGGGCCTATTCCCTGGCACAGAAGCTTTCAAAAGCCCCGCAGGCAAGATGGTCCTGATGCCATACTGCGTCACGCAGGCGTCGACATCGACAACGCTAGTGATTGCATCGAAGCCCATTGTGTGGACTCACTCAAGCGACCTCTGTGTACTTGGAATGTGTGAATCTGTTTGTGTGCTCCGGCCATGTGTGTCGAACGATCGCTAGGAATTACAATGCTTGTGATTTTTGTACTCGAGATTTTTTCGTAATGCTCGTTCAAATATCTTTTCAAACATTACAAGGTCATTTTATTTTATGAGGAATATAACTTACTCCGGATTTATTTTTTCCCTGTTTATATTTATTTACAATTTAAGCAGGTTGATAATCAGTACGAATTTGAATTGTCTAAGAGTAGAATTTTTTGGTAAAAATACCCTTTCACTGCAGGTTATAGTATGTGAATATTTTTGTTATTCTATGCGCGAAAAAAAGATAATAATGTTAAAGTGTAATTTTAATCACGTGATGCTCACCACTAAACCCACCATTTCATAGTCTTTTTTCAGTTATTCACGGTCATCTGCAGCAAAATTTTGCAATTGTCTTCTGACTTAGAGTTGATTTGTCCTCCAATTTTTAAGTATTTCAGTTTAGAAAGAATTAACGAAGCCCCAAGATTACTACTATTACCGACATATTCGGATGCTGCGAGACCAGCGATGGTAGAACTGAAGTAGAGGTGTCCCAACATTCCATAGTCCTTGCTTCCCTGCCTCGAGCCTTGTGAAAATTGACCAATAATTATTATTACAACTCGTCCATCCACAGACGTTATTCCAATAACGTAAAAATGTCCCTAAAATTATATTATATTATATTATATTATATTATATTATATTATATTATATTATATTTATTTTGTTTTGTTTTACTTCACTATTTATTCTAATTTAATTTAATAATTCTAAAAATGAACAGTAAATTATTTAAGGGAATAAAGCCACCCATATACAGTATTTATAGGCCTTTATACAGGAACGCCACTGCATCCTATTATTATACGATTTAAGTTAATCACTTCACCTTGTCGGGGTTTATCTAGTATAGTTCGCGGACTTGCATAGAGATATGAATTGTAGTCTATTATAGAATCAAATAGGCAGGTAAAATAATATTTCCATTTAAATGGCGCAAGGTTTGAATACAGTCAGTCGCATTTCACCAGCCTTAATTTTACCAATTCACGCTACCGAACATTGAGGTGAACTTTATAGAACGTGATAACTTTGTGGTTCTATCCATTAATAATGTTTATTGGCATTCGGTAATTTCAATCTCTGAGTAAATATTCGAGATTGTTAATAAATTATTTATATTTGTAATATACATTATAATACATATCAATCACTAGACAATAATATCCGGATTTGGGAATGGCGAAAAAAATATCTGGACTTCAAATTAAAAATGAAGAGTACGTGATTTTTTGCAGAAAAATTTTGCTTAGTGCAGTGCCTACAGCGAAGCTAAGCAGCAACTTATGTATAGGCGAATAATATATAATTATGAAATATTATAAAACATCAATTAATATATGAAGTCATCAATCCATATTTTCATGAATAGAGACTCCGTGACTTCGAGAGCAGGCATGTAAACGGAACGAATGCGTAAATAAGTTTAAGTAGAAAATTACTTGATGTTCAGTCACTAATCATTGTTTGATGAGTAGAAATAAATACATTAAATATTGGCTGGATGAGCAATGGTAGCAGCGGATGCGTGTATGGATTTTACTTGACTGGATCTCTTAATTGGACGGTGGCAGGAATGGTGGCAATGCAGCGATACGGCCTGAATTGAGTCATAAAATGTCCATCAAAATTAGTGGCTTGGAAGCAAATTTGCAAGAGACTCGGTTGAAAATTTTAAGTGGCCTTTATGGGCTGCTATGTCATTTTTACACCACATAAAGAAACTCAGCTCTATAATTTACACTCGGAAAACTCCATCTCATTAGCCTCATCAATGTTCGAGTGTTCGTTGATTCGTAAATTTGTTGCTTTTTTGTTGCTTTCGTCTTATATTTATCTTGAATTGCAAGACTTGTTAATGCGGCTGTGCCAGTCTGATTTTATTAGTATTCATGACCAACAAGTATCTCTCTTGAACTCTTATGAGAAATATTCTTAGAAATAATATTCTAAACATTTCATTCAGGACTGAAAACTATTAGTATCAATTTAAGACGTACATATAATAATAGTATGTAGCGCATGGCGTTAAATACGCTCGTGATCAAGTTCATGTCACTCATTTGTCATGCAGATATTTACAATTTTATGCATGTGTTTTCTGAGATTTTATCGAGGATATTTTAGCTGTTCAATATTCATTACTTTTTTAGATTTGTGTCAGCAGCATGCATTTTCCGGGGATTTTCATGGACTGGTTTTGGATGAACTGTAAATTCTTTCACGTTTGCATGGACTCAAACATTATTTAATTTGCAAATTTAGAATACAAAAAATTGCAAGCTTGAGAAAGTAACAAAAAAGTTGTTCACAATTATAGCCCAGCATATCATGTTAATTACAGGTTCTATGCTAAAATAAAGTTGTCTCTAAATTAACCGCGATACATTAAATATAGCTATTGTTACATTCCAGAACCCCGGTCGCAACGGCACATTGATCGACTAATATTTTTATCTAGGCTCTTATAATGTAACAGTTGGATAGGTTTACATTGTTATGAGTGCTTTCTAACCCTTCCCACACTTTTACTGCCCATGGAGTCCCGCAGGCTGTTTGAATCTGACAATTGACTTCTTGAGAATCAGCGACGTAGTGAAGACGCAGTACATACAGAGCGAAAAAGCAAGGGATTACTGTCTTTCTTTCAGTATGCCAAGAATTTCCTGTTAATTTTATAATCAAATTCTTCTAGATCACTACGTAGCTATTCAAAATCCTTTACTGTTAATCACTTCACTGACACTTCTCCTGCCGGTCTTATGTCCGATCTTCCGGCTGTACTCTGAAATTCAATAAACATAAAATATCTCGCAATCTAATGAACTCGATGAAATTTTGCACATGCATATATTTAACCGTATTTAACCGCTACATCAACTATGAAGAGGCTGCATAGTTGCAGCATCTATCCCTTGTGCAGAAACACTAATTTTTTGCCCCTGCTATATCTGTATAGCCTATTGCAGTTGCCTTATTTTAGTGACTATTATTGAATGACGCAATATGTACATGATTATACAACAACTACATATTACCCTAAGTTTTCAAAATATTGAAATTTACAGGGTAAATAATATTATAGTTCATTTTTCTTTTCAAATTGGTATTTGAGTTCTGCCAAAGTAGGACTATGAAAATTCTGCTATAGACTGTTATTTCATGTAAACATCATGAAACCATGAGAACAAACGCAAATGATTTTACCGATTGATATATTTTTTTTTTCAGATGTTGAACGAAAAGATTTCCTCAGACTTTACTAGCAGTACATATAAATTATATGCCACTATGATTCACAAAGAAATACTTTGTGGTCATTACTAAGGCTGCTACGAAATTTCATTTGATTTGTTAAAATGAGGGGAATACGTTTTTCCGCATCATATCACACACCCAAAACAGAGGGGGCAAGATTTCAGCTCCGTCGTTGTGGCAACATTTGTAAACAACTAACCGGTATAAGTGGTTATATATTTCAAATTTATATTAAAGAAAACACTGAATTAGTCCAAAATGGATGCTACTAGTGATCTTACTAAGTTGAAGGTTAGTTTATGGTGTTGTGTGTGAATTCATATGTTGATAAAATGCCCAAAATTCTACCTTGATAGTTATTACAAGTGTAAAATGCTACCGTCAAGGACTCAAGAATGGCAAGCAGTCGTCAGTCATCGACGATCGTGATCCATATAAACACTAACGCTTTAATCTTTATTGAACGATTGGACTCATTTTCGATGTTAATGTTAAAATTTTACTCTTGCATTTATACGTTCTTAAAATTGTGTATCAATAGACATATAGCTTCTACCTAATTCTTCTATTGAACTTTGCTAGTGACATTATCACTGACTACCTAAGAGGCTAAGTCTGACATAGGTAGAATGATAGTCTAGATATCGTAGCCTAAATGTTAGGAGAGTAGGCTAGGCTAGGCCTATATAGGCCTAGACTGTGAAGTTGAGTGTGAACTGTGGTGAAATTAGTGTCACTGACATCATTTTATAATTTTGCAAAATACCAGGAACCAATCTAGGTTATAGAAATTCTATTGTAGAAGAAACTTAGCCTACTCTAATCTGCTACCTAACTAATATTAGAGCCATCAGCTTTATTCAGCCATGAAATCATCAAATTTGCTGCTATGGGACAGTGCAAGATTGGAATTTTTCTGATTGAGAAATTTTGTAACAGGACATATTATTCTGATTCCCACTCACTCAGAGTCAGACAGACATAAATCAGTTCATTTTTTATTTCCTCATTTGCTCAAGATTTACATCAATAGGGTAAACGCGGTATATTCTGACACTTTAAGGACGTAGCAAAAAATGAATGGCTATAAAAATACACCATACGCGCAACTCGAGTTCTGTATGCTTTACGTCACTCATAATTTTTCAAACCACCGCACTACGCGCCACTGCAGGGCTGGAAAAGTCCTATTTTTGTCTGAAATATCGAGGCTCTAATATCATATAATTTCAATAGGTATGAAATCTCGCGGCTCGAATGTCATAAATTTTTGTTTGATTGAAAAATTGCGGTTTGCACTTTGCAAACATGTCGTTTCATAACATTTTCAACTTGCACAATCCGCATTGCTTTACCGTTCCCGCCAGAATATCCTGCAGAAAAACATAAACATTGTAATGTAAACAAATCAACCAAACATTTTGTTGAAGATCAGGCATAGTTGCGGTCATGTCAAAGCGGTCAGACTGCATTATAGGGTAAAATTAGAGATTTGGGGTAACACGTGCATGGACTTTGTAAATAAATTTGCGCCTTGTAAATGGCTTATCATGGCCGAGATATGGAATTCACGGCTTGGTGAAATGGAATCACGGCTCGAAGAAATGTAATCAAGGCTGGCAAATCCATAAAACCACGGCACCAAAAATTCAGTCGCGGCTCGCCAAGTAGATATATTCTATGCCTGCGCGCCAGCAACAATGAAATGTCACAAAATGTTGCCATATTTATTTAAAAGCCTTTAGAATGCAAACCTACCAAATCCATATATTCCGACACTGTGTGAGTCAGTGTGACTAAATTCGGCATTTTGTGAGACAAATTCTGGCCGCGCTTCGAATTCTACTAATTCGAAATGCCAACACTCTTGTGTTTGAATTCCGATAGCTGTGTGAGCTGTATTGGAATACAACACAGCTTGGAATTAGAACACTATTGAATATTGAACACTACTTAATTAGGCTTTTAATTAAGAGCTATTAAGCTTTTAAGTAAGAAAATTTTAATTTTTGCACACAGCTTGGAACAAGCTGTGTGTGTCTAATTCCAAGCTGTGTCAGAATTTTTATGTGTCTAAAACCGTCTCTTAGGGTAAACGCGGTATATTCCGACATCGTGGGTAATTCCGTCACCTCTCTAGTTTTTCCTTTATATTAAGCTTTGTTTTAGTTCCATGCGTTCGTTGATGGTTGAAATGGTGACGTCATCAGGGTTGGCAATGATTAAATCAAAATGATTAAATCACGTGATTAAATCACTTGATTTTTTTATAAAAAAAAATCATTATTTTTTTTTATTTTTTCGATTTTTTTTTTCATATATTTAAATATATTGAGTGGCAGTCTTTAATTTATATTGAGGTATTGTTATTCATGGTTTAGTATAAATGAACTATGAATGACAAATTGGTATATAAACTTGTTGCCTTTTAGGCAGGAGCCAGCAATTTATGGTGAGTGAAGCTAGAGTATAGACCTGTATTTTGTACGTTTCAATTCAAGTTTAATTTAGCTAGTAAAAAAATGGCATCATTTATAAAAAAAAAGGTGGTCTAAGTTACCCCATTTTACGGTCTCTGCTTTGCCACTCAATCAGACTCAGACTCTTGCTCAACTCCTCAACATGGTTCAATCTTGTTGTTCAATTGTGAATTTTTTATTCCTAGTAGATAGGAGGTGTAGGGTAAACACACCATATTCTGACATCGTGGGTAATTCCGACACTTCTCAACTTTTTCCTTTGTATTAGGCTTTGTCTTAGTTCCACGCATGCGTAGATGGTTGAAATAGTGACGTCATACTATTGCTTGCAATATTTTTTGCAAAACACTAGGTCTGGCGGGAAATGTAAGTTCCTCAGAGCAAAAGTCCACGTCACCCAGTGAGAACATCGAAACACATGTCAAAGTTAATAGTTGACCTTGCTCTACCAAATAGTGATAAACTGATTGTGTAGAAAGAATATTATGGTTTGAGACTTTTAAATTAGTCTGTGAATATATTAGAAATCCTTTAAGTATACTTGTGTTTGCTGATTTTAAGTGGTACCTAAATAAATTAATAGATGATTAAGTTAAGAGATGGTTTTAGACACATAAAAACTAATTCCGATGCAGCTCGGAATTAGACACACACAGTTCGTTCCGAGCTGTGACATATTTCGATACAGCTCAAACAGGGCGTCGGAATTCCAACACAGGGCACCAGAATTACGAATTACGGTTTGAAGCACTGTCGGAATTAGTCTCACAATATGCCAAATTTAGTCACACAGTGTCAGAATTCAGGGATTTTGTAGATTTGAATTTTAAAGGCTTTTAAATAAATATGGCAACAGTTTGTGATCTTTCATCATTGCTGGAAGTCCTTAAAGTGTCGGAATATGGTGTGTTTACCCTATAATTCATCTGCTTTCTGGTGCCATTGTGAAAAAATTTTCAGAAGCTACTTATGTGAAACCAGTCTGAAATATCTGAAAGAATTATGTAAAAATTATGGTAGATGCAATAGTTTAAGATGAAACTTTTAAAATGGCTGACGTAAATATGCTGTTTTTGTTTATTTTTGGGATAAATTATATAGCAGCCATAATAACTGGCAAGATTTACTACAAGCACCAGCATTTGTCAGTTTTGTCTTATTTATGGCCAGATCACAATGTAAGGCAGAATATTTATTGAAGAGGCGTAATTTATTTTCCTTAAAATTTTAATGTATGCAGTGTAGGATTCAAATGATTTTTGTTATTTTTCTGTAGAATAGATTTTCTGCTATTTTTCTGTAGAATTGATTTTCTGTTATTTTTTAAGGGACCATGTAGGTCCAAAATGGAGAGTTTTGGTTTTTACGGTTTTTAGTCTTGTCTTAAAGCTGACATTCTGAGCTATCCAACGGTACCATTACCATCTCTCTAAGTTGATTTATGCGTTCACTAGAGATTCCGCAAGGTAGGGAGGTGGGCGGGATCTTTAAGTAATAAGACTGGAGGAAATTCGCTGCCCAGCCTATAAATAGTTTCTACTCGGAGTGAAGCTTAGTCACCCTCCTGTCGTTGAACTGGGAGGTGTGCATGTAGTTACTCCTACTATCCTTGACTGGTACAAGCTCCAGTAACATTTAATTTTGTATCCTTGCTACATTGAGTGGCTATTCAGATGCGGGCAGCACTTTGTCGGGCTGTACTAAACATTCACACTTTTTGTCACAGCAAAGTTAATAACTCCTAGAATTTTGAAGCTACTGTGATGAGACATATAGTCAGATGGGGTAAGACAGGACCAAAATCATTAACAAGCCTGTAGCATCTATACCATGAATAACTAAAAAACTCTAAACCTATCACAAGGTGCAGTTATGCAATGGGCTTCTAAGCTACAACTCAGACCTTTTACATCTAACATAGTTTTCTGTACAGATTATAAAAAGTGAGCTGGTCCCATCTTACCCCATTGGGGTAAGATGGGACCAGGCTGGGGTAAGACAGGACCAACAGGTAATTCTTATGTTACAAGGTTTTTAATAAAAGTACAAATCTGATATTCAATATTATCCATCTAGAAACACATTATTTGATTAAACAACCCTTGTTACTGTTTTGTGTTGCAGGAAGTCAACTCTAATATCAGTCACATTGGGGCTTTTGTCACGAGAAAACTTTGTTAAGCATAGTAATAGTGGGTTGGCTTTGGTTCATTGTAGAGCACTGCTAAATGCTTCATGTATATTCCATTAGTGTCATAATGTCATTGTCTGAAAAATTAATCAGATTGGTAATAAAACCAATGTATAATAACTTAAGTCTCAGATATCATGTGTTTTCTTGCTAACTGTATTTGTGGTGCACTTCTTCAAACATAGCTTATGCCCTCTCTCAGTGTTGTGACCATAATTATTTTTCATGTTTCACACAATGATTTTTCCCCCAGTCAATGTTGCACATAGTTCTGCAGCTCACTAATGGGAAGAGACATCCCTATTTTCTCCATCCCTTTGAAGCAATTTAAAATAGTGCACTAAATTTCTCTAATTAAAACAGCTAACAAGTTATAATGAAGTTTAAGCAAAAGATAAAAATTTTGACCGAAACACTCCATGTACTGCACAATAATATATTCATTTAAAAAATATATTTATGATAAACTGTAGGGTAATAGAGGACCATTTGTGGGGTGCGATAGGACCACTTGTGGGGCAAAACAGGATCATTTAGTGGTCCCGTCTTACCCCATGTCCGGTCCTTTTTTACCCCATTTTAGAATACATGTCAGGCAGTGATGGTAGCAGGTAGAAATGCCTAGTATGTCTCAAAAATTGCTTATTACTTGAGGTTACCTGCCTACATCCACAAACCTGGCCAAAAAATTTGTTGTCATTAGACAGAGCTTATTTCCCAAATAAGGTTAACTATTTTGTGACCCTTCTTTACATAGGTTTTCTTTAACAATTAGCCAGAAATTCATTATTTGCAGAAGAGGGTTAAAACAAACACTGAAATGACATGCAATGATTGCTCTCACATATTCTTCCTTCAAAATGAATTTAGTGCAATTAGAATGCATGCCATGGGCTGGTCCTTTCTTACCCCATGAAGGCTGCGATCCTGTCTTACCCCATTTGACTACATACCATTCGATTTGCAATTAAAATATCTAGCGATTCTTGAACCATTTTTAATTTCATTTTAGTTTTGAATATAATTTGAAAAAAATGGGGGAAAATTCAAATATTTACAAAAATTCAAAATTTTTCAGAAAAATTATCAAAACAAGAGAACCAAGAAAAAAATTGAAAAATGGCCTGAGAATCGCTAGATATGGTCTTTACGCATCAAATGATATGTGTCTCGATGTTATAGCATGTGATTTGTAACAGTTATTAACTTCTTTATAGTACCCCCTTTTTGGCCGTTTTCTATGAATTTCACGTTTTCGTTCATTTTTTTTAATTCACAGGAACAAAATAGTCATCATTTTCAATTTTACATATGTGTACCAAGTATGGAGGTGATCTTTCCCTAAATCTAGAAAATAGATTTTGACCTACATGGTCCCCTTAATAGATTTTACCTACCTGGCTGGCAGTAATCAGCATGAACCAATCATGAGGACCAGAGGGCGTGCTTCTGGCGCAATGGTGCTTGTGTCTAGGCACAACCTGTCTGCCTCTCTCCTAATCGTTATAGGCATATATGCAAATTAGTAGCATCTTTGAATTACTGGACAGGGTCCAAATACTACTTATGGTCTTGGTTAAGTTGGTATCGTCTTCATTGAATGGTTGACCTCTTGATTTTTTACATTATCCTGTTTTCAATTGAAACCAATAAATAAAATTTTTATCATATGCAACCAAACATCTCATAAGACCTTCAAAACTGAATAGATCTGCTTGAAATTTGGAATATAAGTATTTATTATCAATGCCCTGCAAAAGAAAATATTAGATTTCTAGATTATTTTGTTTTCAGTTGAAACAAATGAATAATATTTTAAGGCATGTCTCAACTAATAAGGCATGCGTAACTCAGTTCATTTTAGCTCATGGTGTGCATTGAGAAGAGTGCGATATATATCAATTCCAGCACACCTAGTGCATTTTGCTGTAGTGTGTGAATATTGCAGTGACATTAATGCCATAACAAGGCCTGGGAGATGTGTACATTCTGGCATAATTTTCTGGTGCAGATAAGGCCCATTGCAATTTTGTAGATTTTGTTCCAATTAATCTAACCTAACAATTCATTTTTCATATGTCATTTCTGACACTTTTCTTTTTTATTTGTATTAGTGTAGAAAATAAGAGCTTCAGAAATGCTGAACTCTACTACCAGTATGTGATATAATTTGCAGAGTAGAAATACTGTTCTAAAAATGGCTGGATGAGGAAAATATCCTGTCATGTCTCTAGAAGTTGATATTTTTCATGCCTTCAGACAGTACCCCAGACCAGAAGATTTCTAAATTCATAACAGTAACATAACTCATACATTCAAATTTAAAAATGAATGGCTTGGTTTTCTGCAAAAACAGCTTAACAGCAAAAAATGATGCTGCAGTATTTGGAAATAGATGTTGTTGATGTCTTTAAGTTGTGGACTTGCTGTCGTGTCAAACCTGCGTACACCAATCATACTATGATGATTATACCCTTTGTGGAAATCAAATAATATGTTTGCATCAGAATTAAAGAATGGGTATTCTATTTTTTTCTTTAAATCAGTAATTTTTGCATGAATTGGCAGCTTCATCTATGCTATCTCTGCTTGTAAATTGGGTTGTAATATTTTTGCATCTTTCAAGACAATTATGTTCTGTTTTATGATTGCAGGTTCCTGATCTGAAGAAAGAACTCAAAATCAGGGGCTTGCCCACCACAGGGAAGCGCAGTGAGCTGCTGGAGAGACTCCAGGAGGCACTGGTGGCTGGTGAGTGGTTAATTTTGTTGCCCTAACTCCTGAAGGTTGCTCAAATGATCTAGCTTATGTCTATCGATCTTATAAATTAGGTGCCATTGATGTTTTTTAAAAATATTTTCATTTCATTTCCAATCACTGTATTGACTAGGGATCTGAATAATGTAAGGTCAATTGGAATACAGATGTTTGGATGGTGACACGAGTTTAAATTTGAAATAGGTATGTCATTTGATAGCAATTGGTGCAGGCTGTCCACTCCTTGAGTTTTAATTTACATTTTACCTTGATTATTATTATTTTGCTGCAAAATTCTGTCCTGTTGACTCACCTATGTTAAACTGCTAGTTTTTGCTGCATCATTCAAAGTGGAGAAATAAAATTGTTCCAAATTTAATAATTCTACCATGACTGCATTCAAAGTGTCATTGATAATTGTGAAGAGTGTTGCTTTTATTTGCATTTAATGCTATTGGATGAGCTACTTCTGAGCTGTGCCTTCCTGTAATGAAACTAATTATTTTCCACTTTTTTTCTGGAATTAAGTGTTGTTGAAAAAATGAACTTCTGCAAATGTAATTTACTAGCAATAATGAACTTGCATGCTTAAGTTTCAGATGTTTATAGAAAAACAGTTTAATGATCTGAATCATCTAACAACAAGAGAACTACAAAATATTTGCACTTCTTGCTAGGTGTTGGGCTGGATGGTGGTGCTGATGACGATGAGGACTTTGACGAGGATGAGATCCTTGCTGGTGATGATGATGATGAAGACAGCAAAATGACTCCCATGGAAGAGGCTGCTGCTTTAGCTGCAGCTGAAAAGGTAAATGACTTGCTAAAATTCATAATTGCTCAATGATTTTGGGTCTATCATTTTTATAAGCTATTATTTTAGTGCGCAAGTTGCAGTAAATTGTATTAAAATATTTGCCCAAATAGCTCGTCATTGGCTGTGTTTGTATTTGAGGCCATGTCATAATGTTTCTGCCAATCTATATTCATCTGCCTCTATTTCCATTACTAGCATTATCCCTTTGCTTCAAAACTGAATTTTCCATGTTTTCAAATCGTACAAAGAAGCAATAGTATATATTTCTTCAACTTTTATCAATAACCAGATTTGAATCATATGGAACTTAGGTTGTTTCTCTTGATAATTTCATGTTTAATTTTATATCAGATATGAAATAACATCAAATTTATTTGGCACAGTGGCCGGATTTCTTAGATTCTTCAGCTGTGATTTGCATTTCAAGTTTGCAAAATTTTGAAAAATGCTCAAAAGTATATAAATATATTTTAGGTATGGTATCTTAAAATATATTTTAGAGAAGTAAATGTAGATTTTGGTTACATATTCAAATTGAAACCTTGTAAAGCAAACGTGCAAAACAACCATACAAAGTCATGTAAATTATTTATCGAAGTAAGCCGAGCTGGTTTCTCTGATGACCTTTACCTATAATATTGCCATTTGTTGACAAAACTGGGGTTTTCAGGCAATGGCAACTCCAACTCGAGCTCGACGACCATCAGCAACGGGCACAGCAACACCACGAGGCTCCGTAAAGAAACCTGCCTTGAAACGTTCAGCTGCCTTGCCAACTGTTACTGAAACTGCAGCTAAACCTGCAGCTGTTAAGCTAGCTGTTCCTGCTGCCGCCGCTACTGCTGCAGCAAAGCCAAAGCCTTCTCCCACCAAGAACTCCGCTGCTAAGTCACCAGCTAAAACTCCTGCTGCAAATGAGCCTGCCAATAAGATCCAAAAACTGGATGAGAATGCCGATAAAGAAAACGAAACTGAACCTGTTGGCAAATCTGTGAGTAGTTTTTAGGTGATTTCATTTAAAGATTTTTTTAGTTAAGTTTATTGTTTGTAACCAGACGGTTAGCTTCCTACTTGATGCATTGTTGAATGTTCCATTGTATTTCTGTATACCTACTAGTATTTCTGTATGCATAGTATGACATCTCAAAGTGTAAACGAATTTACCATCTTGACATGCTTTTTGAAGTTTTGATATTTGGATCGCCTTTTGAGCCATAGGTAGTGTGTTTGAACACATTGACTTAGTTATTTAATTAGGTGCAAGCTGATTGCTAATAAAAAATTGTGCAATAATATCAAATCTGATTTTCTGTTTGGGAATTCACGACCATTTTGGATTTGATTTGCAGGCTCTGGAATTGAGAGCGGAACGGTTTGGTGTTACCAGTGATGCCATTGCTAAGGAAAAACGTGCTGAGAGGTTTGGTGTTACCAGTGAAGAAACTGCCAAGCAAAAACGCGCTGAGAGGTTCGGTGTGTCCACAAATGGCACTGCTAAGCCGGGCAAACTCTCCATGGATGTTGGTGTAAGTTATCCAATTTAACTCTGCTATCGGGGTGGAGCCACGACTTTGATTAGAATTGAAAACTTGTAGATGAATCTGCTGTAAAAATTTATTCTAAGTCAGACATGACCAGGTTGTTACAGATTTTACGGCAATTTAAATGTATTTTGTTGAGTCCCATTCACCTCGCCTGCAATGTAAGGAAATTCTCTGTGCAAGAGTGCAGGAACGAATTATTATTGGATTGAGATGCAACCTAATACAGCTAGTTATAGTTGTCTAATGTCTTGTTGCACGTGGTAATTATTAATATTTCAGATGTATTCGGTACATGATTAGCTAGCCAAATAGAGTTAATCCTTTAATTTAAACTATCTGATTGGCATGACATTGTAATTTGAGCAGACGTCTTGAATTGGCGAATAGAAGTATAATTAATAATCGTGTTTGAGGGCTCTTCAGATCCCAGCTTCATTGTCTAATTAAATGTGTTTTTTTTTCTAGTCCGTCGATGTCGAGAAGCTGAAGGCACGAGCGGCGCGATTTGGTGAAACTACCGCCAAAACCCTCACCACAGTGAGTTTTGTCTATAATATTTGTTGTTTTAACATCATATTCTTGAGCAATAATCTCAATATATTGAACGGATTAGTTGTTGACAGACGTCATTTTTTGCATTTTCAAGCTATTTCTTCTGATGATTATTTGCCTTAGGTTCTTTGTTCCCAATCTCGTATTTTTTCTGACGTCTAAACCATCGCGTACAGAGAAATATAGATTGTGAACGTTTTCTTCGATGCTGCTAGGTTCAGTTCAAGAGACATATTTTGTTTTTTATTTATAACCTGCTTAATATTTTTACATTTCCTCCACTTCAGGCTGAGATTGATGAGAAGAAGAAGGCTCGGGCGAACAGGTTTGGCGAGGCAGAAGCAGCCAAGAAAGAGTGAGTGCAACTTAGTAACTGTGCATTGGTTATTCACAGGCGCTTTTTTTTAGTCGTTGGCTTTTTGTTTACTCTTTGGCACACGCCTTCTCATTAAAACGGTAACCGACCGATTTGAAATAGTTCTGGTTATACTGCAATGTTCTGGCGGGATCTATGTATGTAGGTATGTATATATTTACACATGAGACAATAACGTGAAATAGGAAGTAACCAATGAGGGAGTCGATTTTACTAAGACTGGAAATCAATTGGAAGCGAAATTTCTGCCTATTCCTGACCTGATTATGTTCTGAACGGCCTGGCATCACGATCGTAAAAGTTTTTGCCTATTGCTGGATATTGCCCATTTATTAGTGAAAGAAATTTGAGCCGAAACCACTGGCGAGTTTAATTATTATTTGTTGAAAATCTCCTACCGAGATTATTTCTCATCAGGTTGTTGTTATAGTTCTCATCATTTTCTTTTTCTTGGCGTCATATTTCATTGAGTATTTCCATGTAGTTTAGGAAAAATTAATCGTGAAAATTGCAAATTTGCTTGGTGGCGTAGTCAATGGTTAGAGGTTGTGACTTGATCAACTCGTAAAATACTTGTTGATGGCTATAGTGGCTTCCTTTATTCGGTTTTGATTTAATAAAATTTTACAGCGTGACAAGCGATGCAGTATTGGCGGCCCGCGCTGCAAAGTTCGCGACCACCACTCCGGCGGCCGAGGCCTCGGAGGCTACAACAGAACCAATTATCTCCGCCAGCGGCAAGACGCTCATCACGGTGGGCGCGTCGAGCGACGAAGCGCGTAAACTCAAACGCGCGGCCAGGTTTGCCTCGTGAATTGCATTTCACTCGACACCAATATTATAGAATTACTATGGAGTACACCAATTAATGTATGTATCTTTAGTGATGGGAAGTGACTATTTTCTCTGAAAACACTTGTCAATTAACGGTTCAATAAATTCGCCGAAGTGAAGGCACCTCTCAATTTTGAAGTTAGAAACTATTTACTGACATCAAATTGTAGCACTTTAAAATGTTAGAAATCTTAGCTTTAATGTGTATATTTATTTATTAATAATAGCTAACCTTTTCATCAAATCTCTAGCCTTCAAGTTGACGAGTAGCGAAAGGTCCCTGTCATGAAAGGGTAACCCTGGATGATGTTCGTTTTTAAATGATAGCTAAGCTTGACTTAAGACTTGATATTGTGTAACATGTAAAATTAGAATTTGACTTGAATAACTAGGGAATTTTTGAGCGATCACTTTATACACTGCTTTGGAGAGTTGAATTAATAATCTGTGACACGAGATCTAGAGTTAGCTTCCCGGTTGATGTTGTTGTCCCGTTCCAACTTTACAAATTACATAAATTATATGCTCGCTACATGACATTCCTTCAGCTTATCACGTGTCGACCTTCGTACATTTTTCTGTAGGTGGATTTTATTAATTTGCCTTCGAACTTCGGACCATAAATATTGGGACGCAGAGCATACCTTGCCCATGATTATCTTCAACTAAAGCCTAATGCTGTATTCAGTTCTCGCTTAGCTTGTTTACTTGTAGGAGTGGAGATTAGGGTTACATATAATTGGAGCGAATCTGTGTTGATTTTGGTCTACGTATAAAATTGTGTTCTAGAGAACTTGGAATTTCGAATCGTTTTTTTAGAGAACATCGTTCGAATCTAGTGTATAGCTTATTTTATACAAATGTTTAATGAAAAATCTAACTTGTGTATACTTTACCTTACGATCAGGATTTTTTTAGGAATTTCTTTTAGTAATGGAGAGATGTGTTGTCCTATGAGCAATCATTCTTATCGAAATTCAAGTTCTATCGTTGACGGACTTTACTTGCAACCTCGGGTTCGCAACTGCGAAGAGCTTGTGTGGCTCTATGGCGCATTTGACCGACGGCATGGCGCTCTATTGCGTCATGCCCGATGAGCAACTGCGAGGTGTTGTTCATAGACTGGCAATTTGAGCATCCGGTAATAAATGCCACTACCGATTTTGATTAATTAACAAGTATATTCAGTACGTACTCGTTCGCAGTGTAAATTTTTGTTATTGGTATACATATTGGATATTTAAACAAACCTCAGCCTGTCTGTTGATTTTGTCGAGCTAGACAATGTTGTTCCTTCCCCATGAACAAAATTGAGTTTTTCTAGATAATTTAAGACTCGTGAATGCAGAAGCGTTATTTCTCAAGCTATAGCCCACTCGCATGGAAGGATGATTAGCCATCAGACGAGTTCATTTATTGACGTAATGGCATAAAAATAAGTCGAATGAAATACCGAACTGAGAGGTTAAAGTCAAAGTTGCAAATCAACTATTCAAGTATCGTTAAGACGAGTGACATAATTAAGCCATTTTGCAGTGCAGTCCAAATTTCAATTCCAAGTTGAACTACAATGCCAGTAATGGATAGAGATCATAAAAAAAAACATATTCCTGATAAGGACCATGGCAATTGTACACATTCAACTATTCTCACAATCACAGCCCGATCACGTCACCCGTCACATTTGGATTTGTTTATCGCCTTTCATTGACTGACCTGCTACCTAACTTGATTCATTAAAATTTACCAAGACACTAAATAATGTTGACGTGCGAGAAAATATCTTCTTGTCCACGTCCAATCGATATTTATGCCCATGAAAGTTTTTTAGAATACTAGTAATTTCTAAAAAGAAACCAAATAAATTTGAGTTGAACTCAAACTATGATACATCATTGTTTCGGCAAACGCTGAATATCTATCTAATGGTACGCTTGTGTGATTGAAAATAGCATGGCGGGTTTACTAATTGACACAGGTGATATCACGTCAAAATTTGTGGCTTGGGCGAGAAAATTTTGATGCTCCTGCAGCGATCCCGGTGTTGCCGATACAATAAAAAGCCTCTTCCGCGTGAATAACGGGGAAACTGCTCTCGTTGATGTCCAAAAACGCGCTTCAGATCAGTCGCCTGTAAAATATATCACATGAAAGTAAATAGAAATACAGCGGAAAACTTTAAGATCTGAAGGATATTCAAGATCGTCCTAATTGACCCATTAATCACAAATTAACCCATCAACTGCGGCGCTTCTCGAACAAAATCCTGCAATACTTGTGTGCCATGATCCTCATTTGATGATGAGAAGTCAATTTCTGGATGATATTTGGTCAGTAGGCAATCTTCATTTTTTTACACTAATGCGACCGAATAGAAATAGAATACAATAAAAAAATAATGAATTACCAAAATAAGTGGCAGGTACTGCATTAATACATTATACATGAATTTTTTAAGTATTGCCCGCCAAATGAAAATAAATAGCTCCAAAATGCCAACTAAATTTTCAGATGACTGACGTTAGTGATAACATGATGATATGGTTTACTTATCTACAGAAATGCATAAATTGTTATTCTACTTAAAACGATATAAAGTTCTTACCGGTTTTACGAGGCTTTTCGTTGAATCTAATAAATTCGACAAAAGCACACCCACGACACCCAAATGTTAGATACATCACTACACAAGTCCAAGCTGTGGCTCAGGTTACATTCATTATTCAACTTCAGAAAACAAGTGAGTAACACCACACGGATGGAATTTTCACAAACGAGAGATGCAGAAGAAGCAAGTTAGCATTAAATTTATCGCGTTTAGAATGGCTGGCGTGGAGAATCCTGCTCCATTGACAATAACAGAGCAGTCATGCGTCAAATGATCATCAGTTATTATTGTAATAGTTTAATCAAATTTTTTGTTCATGAAAGTGTGAAAAATTTTATCGTGTTCTTGTCCAAGGTAATTGATATTCTTGGAATCACGAATGCAATCACCAACACAGTATTGAAAGCTAAAATTAGAGCACCATCTTTGAATTTTCTCACAAATGCAAAGTTTTCCTTAATGTTGTGTCTTGATTGTGGTCTAGTGTAATCGAAGATTTCAGAGCGAAACGTCTTTTCTGATATCTTGGCGTACTACATTATTTCACTTCAAGTAAAAAAAGACAGACATCTATCTTCAGCAAATTATGAGTCTACAATTCACTGAGCAGACGATGCTGGAACAGATCCAGGACTAAAGCCAGCGAACGAACTTAGAGGATCGATTGCATCACAGCCATCCTGGGCATCACTGAGAGACACGTCTGGAGTCGCCGAGTCTACAGGGTATTCAATGAGGGACGCTATTTCAGTGTGCGACTGTGAACCACAACTCTCAGAGCCTTCCTCTTCTTCGTTTATTTCACCTTCACTTGGGCTGCAAGGACTAGTTGCTTGTGGGTTGCTTAATACTAGCGATCCACGAGCTGTCTCTTCTAGTCGAGTAGAATCATTCGGTGACTCAACTATGGGAAAACATTCCGGCGCATTGACGGCAACTTCTTCCATACATTCGTGTCCCGTCATGGAATTACTTGCTTGCATCACCATCCATTCCCTGAGATAAGCTTCTTTCTGATATCGCTCTTGAACTGGAAGGCTTTCTAAATTTTCCTTCAGATTTGGCAGTTCATCAGTAGAGGACTTCCTAAGAAGCATTGGGGCTCGACTTGAACTCGTAGTTTGACTACAACTGTGACGTTTAGCGTTCGAAATAACGTGTTTGTCATCATCGTAACCTGGTACGTGCTCATAGATGGTTCCAGGCTGGCTCAACGATCTTTTGGTGCGCGTTTCTGATGCCACGTAACTTCCAACCACTGTTCCTTCGGGAATGGTGGCAGCAGCTAGGGATCGAGAAGTGACATTACTTGCAGGACCACAAGATGGAGGGAGCCACCGATCCAGCTGTTGCTGAACAGAACCACTGGCGAAGAACTGTTGCTGCGAGGGATGAGAGTGAGTAGGAGAGTCGAGTAAAGCTGTGGTGTATGGGGACGGAGGCCCAGAAGATATGAAAGAAGGAGGTCCTGACCACCAACTCATGCCTGAGGAGCGGGCAGAAAGCAAATTAGCTACATCGTGCTCATTTGGATGCCTTCCTGTTGGTACTGCTTACGTTTCATCGCTCCATTTGAGACATGACCCGTGATTACAATAGACTTTGTCTTTTGGTAAAATCAGTGAACGCCTGGAACATTGAGATGAAAAAATTCTAGAAGGTAGGAAAATATCAAGCAATTTACATAGAAGAAAAATGAGTTCCAACATTTCTTTGAAGGAAAGCGGTACAAATAGTGTAGAGAAATGGTTGAACGTCAAATAAAGAATGTTATAACGACATTTGATGTGGACATTCGGCTCGTAACGATTCAACGAATTCATTCCATTGAAATTAATGCGTTAATTTATAAGAAACGTATTACGCAATCTGGTGCCGAAAAAAAGAAGGAAAATTGATCAGGTATGAAGAGAACAAGAACCCAAATGCTACTAGAAGGACTTTTGGAAATTTAAGTTTTCGATACTACAAACATTATTTTGTTAAAGCAGCAAAAATGTAATTATTAAACCCTAATTCCCACAAGTTCCGAGCCACCGCTACTCCAAGCATTTACTTCAAGCAAATGATAGTCACAATACACGAGTATCTTTTAGGACACACATTATCAAAGAAAAGTGCTTGGTAATGTACAGATTCATACGGCAACGAATGCTTTTTTATACTTGTTGACGGACATCACTCGCGATACTGGAGTCAAATCAAAATTTCTAAGAGAAAGAGAAAATTGTTGTTGCACATACGATACAGTGATTTTCTGACGTAGATGTAGTAATAAACTTATACAACATGGCACCCACAACACACTACATGAGCAAGCAGAAGCTAATGTTTACACGCAAAATCAAATGATAGAATAAATTTCCAATTCAATACTAATATAAAAACTCATGCCGGGAGTCTTATTTCCATGAAAAATGAGGTTGATGCTAGACTCGTGCTAAAATTGAATCGAACTTTGTTCATCAGCACCATCCGGAAGAGAATATTGGAAATTAGGTCAATATTTTGGATGCAATTTTAAGCTCACTTGTTTAGTTAATTTTATAACGTAACGAAGACGGACAAATGTAATTACGTTGATGGACATCCCATACAAAAAGCAAACGATAGGAATCTTGCAAACTTTACAAGCAATTTTACTCAGGAAATATTTTCTCCGAGCCGTGGTTTGCTGCTCAAGTCTTCAGTAAGTCGGGCTTATGTAACTTGTAGAATTTCAACGAACTTATGAATAAATATTACTAGTTTCAAGTCCAGCAAATAGTTGAATCGAATTGAGGTTTAAAATTTGATAATAAAAGAATAAAAAATCGAATTTCACTGAGTAGATATTTCGTAGAAAGCAAAATAAATTTCGTGATTAATTCACATGACGAGAAAATTAACATTCGTTAATATAAGCCTGATGAGATTCGCCAGCATGAGTGTATAAATACTTGTATTTACTCAAAATTGGTCACCTTGTTGCTACCAAGACTTACTGGAGGCTGAAGATGGCGAAGGCACCGACGGTGTCCCGTCTGCAGGTTTTGATGCGATTTTTCCAAGGTACAGTCGCGGATGATGATGATGAGGAAACTGTTGGCGAGGCGAAGTTTTTGGCGGCGACGAAGAAAGAGTAGACCGCGGGAAGCGCGTGATGCGACGTAGAAATTCATCCAGTTGCCGGAAAGACAGAGCGTTGTGGAGGGTTTCGAGAGGACGAATTGAGGGCACTCCTCCTTGTCCTTCGATACCTGCATGTGGTGAGCGAAGAAAAACAATGCAAGAGAGGGACAAATTTATCGCCTCTACGATCCATCACGGTTAGTTCGGAGGTGAGTACTAAGCCCAACTACGTAAGGGGGCTATTAAGATGCACTCGTTGTTGGTCGATTACCCAATAGTATGAGAATTAGAGGATAATGAGCAAGACAAGAGCACCATGTCACCACGATAACTTCTCATGAAAGTTGAAACGAAGCACAACTGTTTGTAATAGTGTGTACAAGTCCTGAGTGTGAAATTCATGTATCGAAGGACGTGCCATTATGCACTAATTAACAGGGGTTTGTAAAGTTTTATTAAGAATGTTTTGAAACTACTTTTTTGGTGGTTAATTTGCAAGTTCGAGAATATACACAAGAAATTTTCACTCAAACCTTCAAGTTAAAGTAAGTATTATGATAAGAGAAACGTTCAGAATCTCACACCAAGTTCCGTAAAAAACAACTCTTGACATTAGCATGTCTACTTTTTGAGTGTAAATTTGCGCAAAAGAGGAAATAACGTGTTTAAGCTCGAAGCCATTAGAAGAACGTACACAATTAACAGAAACTATGAAAAAAATATAAATAATTTCATCGCTGCCAGGGCAGTTTAAAAAGTTTCAGGTAAACAAGAAATCTGGATCAATTAGCGACATCAATTAACTTATCAAAACTCTTTGATAAATTGTAGACGACAATTTTTATATACAACACACCATGGGGAAGTTTTCTTGAAACAAGTTTGGATGCAAGCCAGTAGTAAGGGAGTATGAGAATGATATCAATGTTGTAAATCCAACATGAAAATTCATTAAAAGAGGAAAACCTCACCCTGGCTCTCATGAAGACAGCACTGGGCATCAGCAGCTGCAGATAAGTACAGCCGTGTTATTCAGCACCAAGTAGTTCGCCTAACACTAACTTCCAGAGCAAGAGTGTTTCAAAAAATGTAATTATGCACACGATCATTTTTATTAATTGAATACAATAAATATTCAATCATAAATTTTGACAGGTTTTCGAATCTGATTCATACGTGTCTATTTAAATTAAGCATGAGAGCGGTTGTACTTACGAAGTTATGTTTCCTAAACTTATAATGGGGCTATTTAGTACTCACTGGAGAACTTAAATTAATTCCTGAAGCTTCGGAGAGATATCAAGCTATCATTCACTGAAGAACGAACATTTATTCTCCAAAGTTTGAAGGAAAACCAAGTTAACACTCACTGGAGAAAGCATATTGATTCTCCAAAGTGTGAAGGGAAACAAAGTTATTACTCACTGAAGAACGCACATTGATTCATCAAACTTTGAAGGAAAACCATGCTAACACTCACTGGAAAACGCATATTGATTCTCCAAAGTTTGAAGGGAACCAAGTTATTACTCACTGGAGACGTATCGAATAGTGTGGAAAGTCTCGCGGAGATCAGGAGCGGAGGTGGAGCCTGAGATGACCGCAGTGGAGAAGACAGGAGGAGGGGGCGGCAGTCCCGACGTCAGAGAGCGCTGGTGAAGCCCCGCCACGAACGATAAGTAGTGATTGAGTTGCCCGGGGATACTGTGGCGGTGGCGGCGTAGTCCGTCTGCACGAATACGCAACCTATTCACACGGCTTCAAATGCCAAATTCAAGATCAGGGGTTTGACAAAATAAGGGAAACACCTGGGAAACCCATAAAATATATTTTAGTATGGTATAGGTCACCCTGTTGCGGCAATTTCAACCTCAATTCTCCGAGGTATTGATTCATACAAATTGTGAATTGTTTCCGAAGGAATTTTAACCCGGGCTTCAGTTAAAACTCCCTCCAGCTCTTGTAAAAGCGATGGCGCCGGGAATAGACTTCTGACTTGCATCTCTAGAATCGACCATAAATGCACGATAATATTGAGGTCTGGTGATTGTGGGGGCCAGAATAAATGAGATGTGTTTTTATTTAAAACCAGAGCTTTTCTAATTACAGCTCTTCCATGAAATCCAGAACTGTGCAGCTCTCTGCGGACAGTCTTTCTGGAAACTGAATTCTGTAGGTGTCCATTTGAGGTCTGCAGTAATTTTAATAGCCGTGGTCTTTCGATTGTCCCTCATAATTCGATTTGGTTACCGATGGTCTCTCTCAGACAACTTCGACTTTCAGCCAGACCTGAGCTTTGCTGAGGACGTTTTTCTTTCTCGTTCAAAAGCAGTCATTACTTTTGAGACAGTACCTCTAGAAACGTCAAGCATTCGGGAAGTTTCTGTCACACTAACACCTGCCCTACGGGCACCAGCAAATTTGGCCTCTTTGAAAGTCAGAGACGTTTACCATTTATAGGTTACCGTATAGGTTAGGTTAAAGACACAAAAATTACCAAAAAATATCTGTGCAAGGATAAAATATTAATTAGCAGCACCAATAAATACTATAACATAAAAATATCACGTTCATTGTCTATAACATGTTCAAAAATTACGATACCAAAATGTCAAGCGTTTCCCTTATTTTGTTCAACCCCTGTATGTCACGTGTTTGTATGTATGTCATTTTGTTCAACCCTGTCATTCTAATCGATAACCATTTTACTAAATTAACAGACTGTGATGATGGTAACGAGAGTGATGCAAACTAAGAGAACACAACTACTAAGGGAAAACCCAGGCTTTCCAGGAATGATCTGACCTCGTACGAATATTGACAGCTACTAATGCAGAACAGATCAAAACGACACTGAAATTCTAATAGTAGGTGATTTTAGGTAACAGCAACTGGTAGCAAAAAGATACTCGTGTTGAAAATGTTTAGAACTATGAAACATGAATAGTACAATTACTTATCATTAATATTATTAGTGATAGTGAAAATAAAATATTACCACACAGCTCACAAACTGCAGAGCAAACGTTTTCAAGTAGGGGTTGAGAAGGCTGAAAAATGGCATTTCTAAGGCGGCGTGGTATGGAACATTGCTCTAACTCATTGCAGGCTTCGTGCTTAGCTAAATTAAGCGACAAAAGCAAACAGCGAGAAGTGTGTGAATTAACATCTTGAATCATGCAGCATGTGGCAGATTATACATAACACGAAATGAAGGTTAAAGCTAAAAAGTATTCAGCATTTAGTCAAGAGATAGGCAAAGTTGATTCAGAGGCGTTATTTGACCATGATAGTTGCAAATAATGCCGTTTAAGACTTGGTATCGCAAAGCCAGTACGATACCGTGCAGGAAGGTATCTTACCTTCATCAGTTACTGAGTCTAGGCTGGAGCTCGCGACTGCATACATATTATAATGATATATTCATTAATTTTTGTCGCATCACATAAATAATTTGTCGAATGCGAAATTGATAAGGGATTATATTCAAGTAATGGTATATTGATAAGTATCAACAAATGGATGGTCGGAAGTAGTGGACGATATTATTAGAACAAACGGCAGAAGCAAAAAATACAATGTAAAGATCATTAACAATGAGAATATTAAATACAGGTAAAAGAAATTACATAACTTGTTTGTCAGAAAGTAGACGATCGTTATGTGAGGGAGCGTGTTATTTATTTCAAATTCATGTTATGCAAAGAAATATGAACGCGATGCAAGAAGCGCACGGAGAAGGGCAGCGTCCTTTCTCGAGTTTGATCATAGCAAGGCAGTACGTACAATACAAACGATGCAAGAGTACAACAAGGATGTACAATACCGCCGTGGTCGCAGAGACGATCGCGTGGTAGCACAGAGAAATGGGAGAAAAAATAACGTTATTTTTGATACTGGGGGACCAGAAATGAGAAAAATTAAAGCTAAATGTATATATATATATAAAATAAATGTAAAATTTTGCCTCATACAAATTTCATGTGTTGGCTATACTAGGAATTGAATAGATCGTTTTTTTGTGATGCCTTAGTAACTTGGGAATTTGATGAGGCCTTTTTCTCGGATATGCCATTTTGTCAAAATTTAAGATATTATTAGATAAAGACAGGGAAGATAGGAAACGTCCAACTACAGGATCAGTAGAACTAAGTATATGATATGGCCAGCAAGCGTATAAGGTAAGATTAATAATCATAAAGGTTAACTAGCGATTTATGGTATAGATTAACTTAGAATTTATAGGCAAGTCCAACTAATGAACAAGGTTTGGACGAGGTAGCTTATAATTACAAGAGGATGACAATTAAAGACTAATTAAAAATTAACTTGAAGCACAGGCACATGTTGATGATCCCTGTCTATAGATAATATGTCAGGGTGGCGATGGAACTGGCGGTGCGAGTAATGTGGATGTGGCAATAAATACAGAAAGTGTCACACGTAACTCGGGGGAGATGCCTCCATGGAGACGAGAGAGCTTCGTGGTGGGGTTAGTAGAAGTTATTTTTGGCTCTCTATGAGTAGGCCTGTTACGAGTAAGATGCGCACCTTTTTGCATGTTAAAGAATTCAGTAATGTCAGCTAATCAATGTAAGAGATCGATTTATTCTATTACTGACACCGCCTAAAAATAACCTGAATTAAGGTTCCCCGTCGAGAGTCATGAAGTAACGATATAGTGCGGCTTTGTCAACAATTCAGTTAAAGGCTCATACATCTGATATGATCTCACTGAAATAAGTGAAATTAATTCTCCAGTAGTGGCACTGAGCCCTCCCCGATAGTGGCACTGACCCCTCTCCAGTAGTGGCACTGACTCCTGTCCAATAGTGGCACCGACCCGTAGTGGCACTGACCTCTCTCCAATAATGGCACTAATCCCTCCCCGATAATGGCACTGACCTCTCTCCAAGTTGGTCTGGTGTTCGGGCGGCAGGGCGTTGTCGGCCTCCAGCGAGCGAGGGCGGGCGTGAGAGTCACTCTGGAGCACCTCGAGTGCGGGCTTCTGTTCAACAGTCCTGGGCGTTTGATGAGCAGCTTCTGAGTTTGAACGCGAATAGAAAGTTCCCGAGTGCGACAGAGACCTGGATGAACGGCAAAATTAGCTCTTTAACAATAACACATCATAAAAAAGTCTTCTACCAAAATGAAACCTTCAAGTATACGAGCCATAAGGAAGGTGCAAAGAATGGCTGCATAGAACATGGTGTCTTGATGCCCGAAAATACCATAATGAAGAGGATGTATTTTTATTTTAAAAATCATGTTCTGTATGAAAAAACTTCGAGAGTGGAAGTGATGATCAATTAAACATAAAATATATGGTTGGCTCAAATCTAACGTTTTCATCCAAGTGTTATACTTCACCTGCTTGTTATGGGCATCGGTTCGGTTTTCTTGCATGCGCTGCTCTTGTTTTCACCTGGAAATTTGTGGAAGTCATTAATATAGGAAATTACAAGAATCATCAGATATATACCTAGTATACTCAAATAAATACATCCAATTCACACACCAACAATTATCGATTGAGCCAAACAGGACAACAAGCAAACAAAACATTTCCTGAATTTCTTATTTCAGAAGACCCAATTTGGACCATGGAACAGGAAACTGATTGAACCTTCAACGAGCTTTACTAAGCGCCAGAACATAGAAAGAACTCAACTCACTGCCAGAACGTGTTCGAGTCTTAGAAGAGTCTTGCTGCTTTCCGTCAGATTGCATGGAATCTTTTAGGGCGACTCCGGAACTGTGAACTTGGGTTTCAGAGGCGCGACCCATGGCCTGAGCACTGGGAACCTTGGACTCAGAACCTGAAACATTAGACTGAGAAGAGGGAACCTTTAACTTAGAGGCTGGAAGATTGTTCTGAGAATCCTGAACTGTGGTGTCAGAAGAAGAATCCTTGGACTGCGAAGATGAAACCTTGGGCTGAGACGTAGGGAAAGGGGTTCTAGAAGTGGATTCTGAAGCAATTGCCTTGGACTCTGAAGCGCAACGACTATCAACAATCTCTTCAGTAACTTTTCCAGATAGTTTGTTAGTTTCCTCCCCGTTTAGCGAGAAGATATTTTCGTTAGCAACATCGTTGGTCGCCATGTTTGGCACATCTTCAGCGGTAGAAGTATTACCATTAACAGAAGCTTCAGCACCAGAGGAATGAGGACAAGAATGATGACTAGAACCAATCTCAGGTTGAGGCATGGTTTTAGGTGAGCTTGAAACTATTCCTGGAGTCTTTTTACAAGCTAATGAAGGACTAGTTAAAGCACTTTGAGTATCACAAGCATTTTCAGGTATCTCAGATAACGTGCCAGTAACAGCACTAACAGCACCAATAGTTTCAGAGATTTTCAAAATGGCAGTAGCTGTTGGAATAACCTGGGCCACGCCGTGTGAAGTAACGCTTGCAGTTCCGCAAGATACTACAGTCTGAACAACATTAGAAAGAGAACCAGTGGATGGAGTAATGACTCCAACACTGGGAACAGCATCAACAGTCGAAGAAACGGCGTCACCGAGTTCACTGTTTGATGTAGTAGAAGTGACGTGGTCAGTAGAGCCCACAACAGACTGAGAAGTTGAAGGAACATGAGCAGTAACAGCGGCATCCGATGTAGAAGTTTTAGCAACTGTCGTGCTTTCAGGACCAGTGAGATCAGTGGATATGGCACGAGTGTTTGAGGGCAATTTAGTACTGACGGATGAATCTCCAGCATGTGTGGGTGTTACACACGAGATAGCTGAACAGGTAGCGGTACATGTAGTTGGACCAGGATGCACATCATCTGCTTTGACATCTTCAGAAGATCTGGCTGAAGGGCACAAATCTGCAAGATTACCAAGCGACGTAAGATTATTTGAGCCACTACGATCGGTCACCGGATCGTTACGCCGATCATTTCCTGTCGCGGATGTGCAGAGGTCCTTCAGGTTGTTGAGTGATATCAAATCAGAGTCTCTGTAATCTTCAGATTCGGCGGCAGGTGTCGATAACAACGATACAACACTGGAGGCTCCAGATGACGGATCGTGTAGGATATCACCACTTGATTTCGAAATATCATCACCGAGATCGAAGTAACAACGAGCAGAACTAGCACCGGAGTCGGTAGTGTCTTTCTTGGTGCCGTTCCAACCATTTTCACATTCGCCAGATTCGCTGGAAGATTTGCGCTTGTCCAAATTACCGTCCGATGTCGTGTTTTTCGAAGATTGATTTCGCTCACTACCACATGAAGATCGCACGCTGCCGTTCGGGGAAGGTGCTTTTGGATCACACGCTTCGAAGTGAAACGTGTATTTCTTGTTCTTCTTTTTGTCCGAAGCGTCTGATAGAAGAAAGAAAAACATTTTAGAAACTTTGTCAAATTCTTTCATCCATGCCACACACTGCTGAATTTCATAAAAACAGTTCAATGTAGCCATTTCTTCGAGCTAACTTCGTAACAGTAACGGTTGGAAATTTCGTTGATCTAACCATTCTAACGGATATTAAATGTCTCGCATGACCAGCCGGTTAAAGTCTATTTCCAACAATATGACTGAATCGTTGACGTCTTCCAGGTCACTAGTGTTCAATATTTAAGTGCTTTATAACGCCAATACATACGATCCAGCGAGCGTCGTGGGAGGGTCAAAATCGAATGAGAGTTATAATAAAATAAGTTCTGACTTCATTGCCAACTCTCATGATAGCAAAAATAAAATAACATTGATATCTTACAATTGCTTGCTATAATACAATGAGCCACGACTTCCTCACATCAAAACTGAGATAGGTATATCATGAGTTTGTTTTAAAAATTTGTACAGCAAAAGTACAAATCGGAGTTGATAATTTAAGCTATTCCTAAGGTTAACATATTCATAACACAAGTATGTAAAAGGACGCATAAATTCGAAGGGAAACCAAGTTAATTTTGGTTTAAGGGCCTTAACTTGAATTCAAATGATCCCATTTCCATCCTGATCATAGGAAGAAGACGATGTTTTGTGCGGCGAAATAGGCAGATTATTGGCGATTTTTAGTGCATTGGGATGAAGCCCCAAACTCAAAGCGAGCAAAAGCGGGTGCTTTTTAGGCGGAGATTCTGTCATCATTTATGTTAACTCTTCAAAGGTTATAAGCCTCCAGTACTCCTCTACATAACAATTAAATCATAATTCATTGAGCCTATTACTGACGACTTTTCAAGCTAAACCCACCGCCACCAACCACAGGCAAGAACTCTGCCGACTACGTGTACACAGGCCGCTGCGTGTACTTAGGCCGCTACGTGTACTTAGGCCGCTGTGTGAACTTAAGCCACTGCCTGTACTTAGGCCGCTACGTGCACTTAGGCCGCTGCCTATACTTGTGTGCGCATTTTGAATGATAGTACAGCCCCTGGGGCGTGAGAGCTTCCATACCCTTGGCCTCCTTGGAGTCGTCACTGCCGTCCTCGGCGAAGTTGAGAGACGTGGAGTCCAGCGACGTCTGCATGTCCTCCTCCTCGATGCGCGACGTGTGACGCTGGCGACGCATCTCCTCCTCCAATTTCGGCGACAGCGGCTGTTTGGTTGAATGGCCATTACTGGTTTATTCAATTATCAACGTATCGGAATAAAACGTGCACTGACAGCTAATTCAGATTAACGCAAACTAAACACAATAAGTACGAAATGACTGTGCAGGTGGCCAGTCATTACGTATTTTATTCAATCCTTGGCACATCAGAACAGAACGACGAGTGGAAGCTAATTCTAATGAAAAAAATACACAATTCCACATAGAAAAATTTAAATAAGACCGAGTGACTATTTTTAAACCCAAATGGATGAACAGCACCTCCAACAACATAGAAATAAAGCAAAAGAATGTTTGAAAGTATTACAGTGTCGTTTCGAATATAACTTCGAAAAGTAACTAAAAATTATTAAAAATTTATAAATAAACACAAGAACAAAAAGTAAAACAATCAAACAACATAACTCCGAAGCCAACATCGGAGAAACAATGTTAGGAGGCAATGTTTGAAGCACACATTAATCAAAGAAGCAATGTTGGGGTCATGCTTGAAGCACCAATCAACTAAAAAAGTAATTTTCGTGAAATGTTTGAGGCACAAATGAGTTAAATAAGCAATGCTGTGGCAATGTTTAGAAATATAGACTTCGTGAAAGAATCATTTTAGCAAGAAATTAAATAGAGAAGCAACGTGACTTTTTCGCTACGTGACTACGGCAGTGTTGGCAACACAAGTTAGCATTGTTCAGATGGCAAATACAAAACATGAGCCAAACACAACAAAGGAGGCAATGTTATAGGTATATTCACACCACACGTGAGGCACTGTTATAAGTACAAATACACGACAGGTGACTCGATGCTATCACAATTTACAATTTGAAATAACACAGTACAATTCACATATAAAAGGTTATTTGACGGCACCGACTAATAACATGTGCGAATATCTAACACCAACACAGTGAAGTGACATAGATTAGACAAATAAAGTGATGTGAAGGATTAAAATAGTAGAGAAGAGACTCACCACTCTACAGGGAGCCCTAATGTGAACTGAGCAACCGCCAGCCTCCTGAGAGCGTGTCGTGAACGGTGACAGTTAATGACCATTACCAACCATGAGCATTAATATCCTGGAGCTATGATCTATTTAATTGTGGTGAATGAGACTCGTCATCTTAATAGTTGGCATTACTGCTTCGCCAAAAATGATGCACAACAATAACAGGCCAGAAGTAATATTTGCAAGCAAGCTTCAATTTTGTACATAATCCCTCGATTTTGTACATAATCCCTCGATGGATTCTAGGACGTCCTGTCGTGTACGGACGCTTGCAACTCACAGGTTCGTTCTTGCTCTTGGGCCTGAAGCCTGGGCCGGGGGGCAGGTTCTTGTGCACGCAGCAGTTCACGCCCGGGCTGAAGTGGAGCTCCACGTGGAACCTGCAAGGGGTACGTATTAGGAGGCAAGTATTATACTAGGATAACCACTTCACTTGATAAGGTATTTACTTATACATGCTCGATAACTTAGAAGAAGAAAACCTAAACTGATTATGTAAATAAGTTAATAATGTAACAGTTTTCATTAACCATACATACGTAGTTCAAACGTTAAAAATGGCAATGACCATTGTGGCATTGGTAGTACCTTAATTGGAAATGATACTTCCTAGGTAATGATAGCAATATTTACAGCAGACTGTAGCACCCTCAGGTTTGATAAATTAGCAGTCACCGTTCCAGTTGAACACTTCCAAGACCAAAAGAAATTCATGCCAGTCAAACAGGTGAGAACTTCAAGGAAGGTAAAGCAGACCCTTTCAATTTCATTGCTTGGAAGTACAACAATTCTCGAAGAGGATTTATATCATGCAATGTTGAAGGAGCTTTCCTGAAGAAAGTAAGAGCTACTGACCGGTTTTCGGAGGAAGGATCCTTAGTAGGATCTTCATACAGCATGATCACGATTTGGCTGAGGTAGTTGAGCTCAGAGACCGAGCCCACGTACTCCATGGCACGACTCCACTGCTCGTCTTTCGTTGCCTGCACAAACATAGACACCATTAATTTCTTAATCAGTTACAGTACCCCTACATCAGTTACTCTCACATCAGTCACCCCAACATCAATTAACTTTCCATCGTCATGTCATGTAAGGATATATACACGCCCATAATGAAAACTTTATTCTCAGAGATGAAGCACCTCGGGTGAGCTAACTAATAGTCGTTCCGCAATTTAACTACAACTTTTCTGAATATTGCTGCTCGTGGCCGCGACAATAATATTAACGATATTGTTAGAGATAAACTTCCGTTCAATTGGTGAAATATTTCAAAAGAAACGCGAGTGCTTAATTCGTTTGGTGGAGAAAAGTGCATAGGCCACAGAAAACTAAAAAAAAGTCAAATCCAAATATCATCAATATGCTACCCATTGACCCAGCGTCGACTCAGCATCTAAAAGAACTCAAAAAGAAGCAGACACAAATGTAAGAAAAAAAGATCACACGTCCACAAAAACAAACAATGAATGATAAATAGACATTGTATCTAAACAAAAGACAGTTGATGCAATACCACAATAATAATAAAATATTAAGGTAACGATATATTGAACGGAACTGACGTCGATGAGGCCGCCGAATCTGAGGACGGTGAGGAGGGAGTGGATGTGGCTCTCACAAATGAATGATAAATAGACATTGTATGTAAACAAAAGACAGTCGATGCAATATCACAATAATAAGGTAACGAGATATTGAACGGAATTTACGTCGATGAGGCCGCCGAATCTGAGGACGGTGAGGAGAGAGTGGATGTGGCTTTCACTGGTGAAGTAGAGGCGCGTGCGTACGTGGCGCCCGGGACTGCTCACGCCGTGCGAGTAGCTGCCACAAACATACACACACTTAAGGCTCCGAGATAATGGGAAGCATAATATATTAAGCTACATTATGCTCAAATTAAGAGCAACTCTGATAGACTTTATTATATAGAGACTACTTAGAGCATTGAAATATTGATAATATCAAAGTGCCGCAAAGCTACGCATGTTCAGAGCCGAGCCGCTCATTGACTAAGTCAAAGGTTCCAAGATAATGGGAAGCATAATATATTAAGCTACATTATGCTCAACTTAAGGGCAACTCTGATAGACTTCATTATATATTATAGGTATAGAAATTATTTAGAGCATTGCAATAATCCCTACGTGCCGCAATGCTACGCGTGTTCAGAGCCCAACCGCGCATTGACGAAATGACGTCACCACGCATCACAAGTATCACCGCCCAGTGCCATCAACACTCCCCCAACTGGTAGTGATGAAATATAAACAATAATATTGGAAGGGAATATATGCACCCACCTGGGATGCAGCCTGTTCACACTCTCGCCATGCGCGTCCTCAGCGTCAGGTTCAATGTTGCGCTGCAGGTCGGCACGGATCTTCTTGAGCAGCGGCGTGCAGATGCCCTCGCCGATGCTGAGTTTCTCCTGCTTCGTCATCCCGTACTCCTGCATTCGAAAAAAATCAATTAAGTTTACTTCACTAATCAATTAAGTAACATCAATAACGAACTAATAATAATTAGTTGTAAATCATATTACATTTAGATTAATTATATTTTAAATAATAACATTAAAATACTGGAATTAAATTCACGAAATAATCCCTACATAATATAATCAATTTATGGGAGAATAAATTTGTGATTTCTTGAAATCACCGATTCGTGCGTCTGCTATCCAACCATCTAATTGAGAATTATTATACAAATCGACGATAAAATTTCCTGCCAAAAAACCATACGATGTAACGGTTTTCCTTACAATACGAAGTTATGGTAATATGCGCGAGACATTTGACAATTTGGTATATGTACTGGCTTATTGCATGTATGTGCGATATTAAAAAAATTTATTACACCAAGATATTCGATACTACTCGTGGGAAATTCGACAATTTGGCATACTGGGTCATAGAATGTAAGTGCGTTATTAAAAAATTTATTACACCAAGATATTCGATACTCGTGCGACATTCAACAATTTGGCATACTAAGTTATTACATGTAAGAGCGATATTAAACAATTTAATAACTGAATCAGACCTGCGGGATGACCACATCAGCCATGTACTTGGAGCACTTGTAGAGCTCCTCGGCGCGCTCGAAGAGCACTTGGTGATGGTTGTGCTGCAAGTCGTACTTCACGCAGTCATAAATATCAGGAATTTTCGATATCTCATACTGGCCTTTCTTGGTCTTGAAATCCTTCTCGAGCTTAGACCAGCGCCGCTGCATCAGTTCCCAGGAGTCACCGTGATGCGAGGACTTCCTTTCTGTACAGAAACAATGGCGCTATCACGATGTTTACTGATACTCAGACTGAGCAAGTTAATTGGAGTAATTTATAACGATTAGTTCGTGATAAAGCGTCATTAATTAGTGCGCATGTTTACATGTATCATTACTGTAATGATAACCATTCCTTAGCAAAATAATATCACTACGATTGTATATCCTCTTGTACATTCCATATAAGATTCTTCTACGAAGGCCTTGATTGACACTTTCACTGCCAACGTCACATATACTTTCTCTCGTACTAAATATACCATTAAACTAATACTATACGGTAATACTATTAAACTAACAGGGCTTGATCTGCGGGTTTCATGTCACTTAAAGATAGATGCTCCATCATCAATATGGCGCCGGTTACCTTGTTTGTTTTGCTCGGCAGCCTTGGTCTTGAGAAGCTCGTTGAGATCGTTGATGAGAGCGTAGATTTTGTCGCACATGGCGACGGGGTTCTTGATGAACTGCAGGGCGGTGTCGATGGAGCTCGAGTGCGTCGGGTTGAGCTTCTCCAGATCCTCGGCGGTGAACTCCCTGTCTACCTGCAGCATCTCGTGCAGCTTTGTCTTCACGCTGAGATTTGCGGAGTGAAATGAGTGTTGACAAATTCATTAGTGAATCAACTATATCCACTTAAAAAATCTTCACTTAAAATTCAAATAAATATATAATTACCAAAAAACTTATGTGCTAATAAGCGTTCAAATCTTATAATTTAGGACATTTTTAAGAAAGAATCATTAACCGGATATTATCATCATTATTAAGACGAGCTTATTTTAATTATTTGAAGTCGATTCAAGAAGGTTTTTCAAATTATAAGTTGCGACTCACATGTTCTGGTGTTTACTAGAGTCGCAGTCGTTATCCAGCAAGCCGTTGGTGTTGGCACTCTTTACCATCTGTACAAGTATGGGCGTCAGCTCGCCCTCGAGCGCCAGCAGGCCCTTAGCGAACGCAGCGGCCGTCATTTGGACGCGCCCCTCATCGCTGGCGTAGATCTTGAGGTCATGCCTGAAGGTGGAGTGTAGGCGCAGGAGGCCCAGGCCTTGTGTGGTGTTCGAGTACTCGCCTGCACACAATAACTTCCATTGACGAATTTCACGCGGGATTATGTTGAAGAAGTCTAAGAAGTCAACGCATTCCATAAGTCAAAAGTGCAGTAGCATTATACACCTACAATGAAGTGCGTCAAATTTTACCCACAATTTAGTACCGACAGCGTTTGCTGCCAGCAAAAATGGCTGTGTTACGTTGTGACTGTGTTACGATTGTAAATGCATTAATGTGAAGTTTGCAGTCAGTACTAATCATTGAGCGGGTGGTATGATTATATACAGTAAGGTAGTGCACGCTGCCAGCACATGTCGAAACACAGATGGAATGATAATACGCAGTTAAAGATCGCTAGTATCTTCCCGTACACCACCGAAGAGAAAGATTACACATAACAGATAACCACTCATTGTCTGGTAGTAAACTCAACAAATACGCCGCAAGAACAGCGCCTATGTTGATCTAAAATGCCCGTATTAACGAGAGCTCAGGCTAGGGACTGTCCAGGAAATCTGGGCACATTTTTCGTCAATGTTCTCTTTTTTTAAAAGACACGATTTCAAGTTCAGCAAAAAAAATTGTGTGATTTTCAGTTGGTTCAGATTTAGCAGCGTAATCAATGTTATGATTTTAATAAATACAGGCATTTTGGAAAGTTATGAATGAAGATGGCAAGCACTAAGATTTTGACTGATGATAACGAAGCGTTACATCATTATTGCTGCAACGTGTGAGCTGGCATTTATGCAAGCAAATCTATGGGCATTTTTATTCGCTTCGTTTTCCGTAAGCTTTTAATATCAAAGTGGCATCAACTGTTCAAGTAGTAAAGTCGCTAAAATAATGTATTAGCAGATGGTGGAAGTAGTTCGTAAGATTACAGTTAAGAAAATTTCATCAAATCAGTACTTAGATGAAGTAGGAGCAAATGTACGATCATGCGGTACCAATAGACGTCGTTATCTACTTACACCCGAGTCAAGAACCGTCGATAAGTGAAGATAAGTGAAGAGGATAGGAGCTACTATGTGCAGGATAAAAGTCTCTACTTACGTTTGCTAGAAGAGTCATGATGCCAGTTGGATCTTTCTGAAAAAGCGATATACTTTAAGTTAATCCAGGCAAACCTTTCACTCATGCTACGCGCCATTAAAACGGGTTTAGTGAATATTAGCTCTTCCAAGATGAAGAGTGAAGACGTGAGAGCATTCAGTGTAAGTTACAAGGCCCATGCAGGAGTATGAGGGATTTATCGGAGATATTACGAAAAATTTGTGAATTTTTGCAGGGAAAGCGGCTTAGATTCTCGTGGAAATGAAGCAATAATTTCGACCGTTTCAGGAGCGAATTGAAGTCAAAATAAATGTAGATAAAAAATTATACTTTTAACACTTCATATTGTACAACTCATTTCGAACGAACGTCCATCAAATTAAATAATCTTGAAAGTACGAGTAGGGAAGTTGGGTAAAAGGATGAGAATTATAATAGTTATACCTGCATCAGTAAATGTGGATAATTGCGCAATAAAAGGAAGAAAATACGAAGTTAAAAGTAAATACATGCGAATACTGTACACAAATGGTTGCCGAAATGAATATGCTTCACAGGAAATCTACGAGTATATAAGTAAATAGATGAGATCAACAAGCAGTTCATGCTAATAAAATCTAACAACAATATTGAATTCAATCATTTACATAGTTTACACGTACGATAACTAACGATAGGATTACAAACAGAAATAAAATGTAAGTACCAGTAGTAGTAATTACTGGGTCTAAAATTTTCCTAGTTTTTGATATTTCAGAACGTAATAGGGCGGTCCCGTTTTCATTAACTAAAAAAACTGCGAAACTTCTTTAAATAGATACTACGTCATCAAAAGCGAAGACATCGGACACTTTGAAAATTCTAGATTGATATCAAAATACAGAAGAATAACTTGAACAAGTTCAGAAGTATTTTGAACATGTTTCATGTGGCGTCAGAGCAGTTTTGGTATTGGTGTTTCGCGAAAAGTTCTGAACATGATGTTGAATGAGGTCTCATTTTAATAAATTAAATACGATACTGTACGTGAGAATCATCAATGCATAATTATACAGGTTTGAATGTTAAAATATACGTAGCTTAGAGGATTACAGACACATGAAGAGGTCAAATTGATGCCAATTACATCTACGAGTGCATAAACTATATTCAAATTTTGAACCTATATAAAAATTTTGAACCTAAGGTGAACAGGAAGTACGGCGCAGTACAACACATTGAACAAGTGTGTCATGGGAGAATAAAAAGTGTTTGAGACATAATAAAAAACACAGACATATACCTCAAACAAATGAAAGCCAGGGGAAAAAGCAAGGAACACACGAGCATATGAACTTCCAGAGTAAGAATGCGAAATCATAGAGCTAAGTTCACAGTTTAGCCATACTGCAAAGATCGCTCGTGTAATTAGCAAGGGAATATAACTATACACCTCGCGTTCAAGCATAATTTTATCAACGGATACATCAAAAATTTCAGAGTCGCAAGAGATGACATCTTCACGGACGATAGCATCCAGAAATGTTACAGGCATAGAAAATTTCAATACGTCGGTATTAGGCCCATTGATAGATTGTATGTTATATACCATAGTCCGAAATAAACCCTGACTGCACACATGCTGGGTGTTTAAATGCTTGAACGCGGGAGATTTCAGGTCAAAAAGCATGCCATACCTTCGAGTGCGGCGAGCGCGGAGTAGGTATATAGATACATCGACGTAAAAAGGTGAGTCGAGAAAATCAAAGTCGAGTTCGGTCCCTAGAGTGAATAGCAAAAAACTTTTGGCTTATTTTTTTTACCACGGTAAATATGAATATTTATATCGGAAAAAAATTTGATTCCAAATTTAATTTCAAAGATAAATGGAAGGGATAGTGATGTAAAAAAAAAACGTATAAAGCTCTTGCCGTGGGCTGAAAAATTTCGCTTCATAGATGGAGTTAATAATGACCTCATGTCCATTGTCATGAATAATTGCACCCAGAAAGTTCAGCGCGGCGACACGAACACAACGCACGGGAGAGATGAAACTGGGATGTTGAGACGGAAGTGACGAAACCGGGATGTTGGAAGGGGAAAGACGAAACACTGAAGTTGAATCGGGAATGATGAAACACTGATGTTGGAACGAGAGTGATGAAACACTGAAGTTGAAACGGGATTTAAGAAACTGGGATGTTTTAATGGAAGTGACGCAACTGGGATGTTGTAACGGGAGTGATGAAACACCGATGTTGAAACGGTAGTGATTAAACACTGATGTTCACACACCCGTGTGTGCAACATGATATAGAAGGCGAGCAACACAAAGAAGTGCTGTGGGGTGCCGTACACTAGACCATGGCGACATACCACAATATGAAGGGAAGGACCGAAGGACTGTAGCGCTTGCTTACCTTGTCCCCCAGGATACATGCAGCGGAATATCCTGCCCAGCTCCTCCGCCTGGATGCGACCAGCAGGAGTCAGCTCGCCTCCCCACTTCAGGATGAGCACCAAAGATGGTGCTCCCCCCACTTCCCCTGCAACAATAGATCAGTTTAGTGGCGGTCTGTTGGCGCCCGAACAGGCGAATTCAGTGCCGTTCTGTTGGCGCGCTAACAGGCAAATTCAGAGACGTTTTGTTGGCGCCCGAACAGGCGAATACGGTGAAGTTTTGTTAGCGCCCGAAGAGGCAAATTCGGTGACGTTCTGTTGGCGCCCAAACCGACGAATTCGGTGACGTTCTGTTGGCGCCCGAACAGGCAAATTCAGTGGCGGTCTGTTGGCGCCCGAACAGGCGAATACGGTGAAGTTTTGTTAGCGCCCGAAGAGGCGAATTCGGTGACGTTCTGTTGGCGCCCGAACAGGCAAATTCAGAGACGTTCTGTTGGCGCCCGAACAGGCGAATTCAGTGGCGTTCTGTTGGCGCCTTAACAGGCGAATTCAGTGACGTTCTGTTGGCGCGCTAACAGGCGAATTCAGTGACGTTCTGTTGGCAGCATAAGTAAGACGTCGAAAAGCATTAGGCCACATTAATGACACAGCAGAGGAAGGAACGCATTAGAGTCTCAATGTTGTTTGCTGGTTTACAAGCGAAATGAAGATAGTACGAAAATAAAATTGGAATGGAATATTACACAGTTGGAATTGGATTGGAATATTCCAAATTGGAATATTACACAGTATCATATCGCGCCAACCATCTAAAACGATTTTTTATGTGAATATATACCACTTGTATACTAAAATGCGTTTCACAATCTTATTGCTACAATAATTCAGTGCTCGCGTAAAAATGTCATGGCGGACTCAACTTCAAGACGGGAACGACACTGATATCATTTCAAATAATATATTTTAATGTATTTTTATATATTCATGTACTCGAAGTCCACGTTGGATGAGAAAAACAACCATTCAATCTCCTCAAATTAACCTTTACATTGAGATCTTTCAAGATATTCCCACAGTACACAATATCTTCCGGTCATTTAAAGAGCAATGAAAATCCTGCGTTAATTAACAGTACTGACATAAATCGCAGGATTTACACTACACTACGTACCGTCCTCGCTGCTGGAGCGTCTCTTCCACCCATTGGGCTGGTATTTGAGCTGCACTTTCCGGTTGATGCCTGAGAAATGCTTGTACCTGCACACGAAATTATTATTAACACAGCCCGTCACCATAACCCCCAAAAGCAGAGGAAAAACGAAAAATATATCAAGCATAATTAACCTAAAAATGAAACGATTTGTATATAAACGTAGACGGAAAATCGATGGAAATGTATAGAGAGAAACCGTAATGTTAAATGTTATGTATAATAAAGAAATTAGAGCACGATGCAGAATATGGGATCGTTCATCATGCATTTTGTTCGGAAGGAAGAATATCAGAGGAAGAGCACATCGAAATGTGATTATATGATTGAACAAGAAGACGTAGCCAGGCCATGTACACACATTTAACTGTAAATTTCACGTGCTGCGCTTACCAAAAACCGAGTAAAGTGTCAAAGGCAACAAGAAAATTAGGCCAATCATTCTCACTGATTTTTGATTTGCACGAAATCAGTAAAAACTGACTATGGAAAGTTGGAAAGTTCAGAGTAGAGCCCACACATTGCATGCCCTGTGGAATAGGGGTAGTCATATGCATATAATTCAGTTATCTAGAAGACTAAAGGACAATGTTTACAACGACATACTTATAACAGGCTATTTAAGACTCACGAATAAAAAACTCAAATACACAAATGCGGAAAATATATTCGAGGCCGGGGAGTTACAAAATACATGGTATTAAAATGAATTTCTTGCTACCAGTTTGTATACTCTATACTTTCTACCGGTTTCTTTTCATGACACCAATATCGCGCCTAAGAATTTGGGAAGTTTGCAATTTTTTGCCTCACTCATGCCAATAAGAGTGTCGAAATAGCGGTGTACATTTGTGAGTCATAGTGACCTAGTTTGGCCGGGCAGAAGGGATTGTCAGTAGACAATTTCAGTACCAAGAAAACCCGAGGCTGAACACAAGCACAGTCTGCAGTGGGGAAAAAAATCAGACGAGATCTGCAGATGCCCTATGATCAAAAAGAAAGATGAACTGCAAATTGCACATTTTTTGCCAGTGAAATCTCAAATAATGCGTGCATAAATAAAAAAATTGGTCCCACGTTGAAGATACATGCAACACTGATAGGGTAAAGAGATCTTCACTTATGCAAAATACCAGAACAATGTCGAGGGAAAAAGCAAGTCCCACCAAATTCAGGAGCGTTTCAAGTAGACAGGTTAAGTGGGATTAACATGCTTGTAGTGTGAGCTCATCGCATATTATATTAGTTTCCTCAAAAATCCCATGTTTATAACATGATAGTTGGTTAATGTTCAGCAATCAATAACTCAGATCTCATTCATGCTTGACTCCCAAAAGAACCTCAATACCTGCAAGGGTCGGGAAATTTTTTCAACATTTTCTCAGGAATAAAATGTCAAAAAATGTTATTGTCATAGCTACAGACATTTAGCAGCTGACCGATTAATGAATAACTCCAGGCCTGTAATACTGCAACCAAGATAGATTTTATTCATTTATGCTTGAATATTATGCAAATTCACAATTTAATTTATGCAAATTCATCTCTTTAGTTTGCGCAGTCAAAGGGTGTCACCACAGAGTGATGACGCGAAAAGAAGCAACAGATAACGAAGGTGAATATTTACTGTAATAGACGAACAGACGATTTGGGAAGGGATATTTATTGAACGAGAAAGCAGGACTCACTGAAGGATTCGGATAAAGACCCCTTTGTTGCAGGTGTACTCCGATAAGTGACTGTAAAGGAGAGGAAGGACGCAAAAGTGCATTGAACAAAAATTGCAGGAAAACAAGAACTAAGTACAAACTCTACAAAATAAAGTGGATGACGAAAATAATTGTAAAATTACTGAATTAAAGGTTGGAAGTGGTACTGTCATCAAAATTCATATGGAATTTGAATCCATAAAAACTGGAATGAAGAATCGCAAAGAAATGGATGACGGATATAACTTTAAGATAATATCTACGTGAAACTCAATACCTGAAGTACCACCGATCTTAATAGAAGAAAGTTGTACTAAGTATTACAATTTAAAATTATTATTCCTGATCAAATAAGCCATGAGAATAACGACCACAGTTTATACAGAAGCACCACAAACACTAGGGACAGTGAGCGCTCAAGTTAATTAAGGGAAGGCGTATGGACTGTACATATGAGGAAGGTTTACTCAGTTTACCCCATGGTCAATCAACGGTAACTCGAGTTATCAAGCCTTTATTAAATACGAACATTAACGATCGATAATGCATCCGTAGAAAAAAAGTTGAATATTTGATCACCTGTTTAATATTACTGAATATTTCAATTACGGAACTATTTCAATGTTCTTTATGTATTTTAATCAAAAGACCACACAAAAAGGACAGATTAAGACTGTAAATTGAGGAGCGCGAAGTGGCTAACGGTTTCACTGGTTGTAACGTTCAATTAATCTCGATTTTACTTTTTTAGGCAATAATTAAAAGTTTGAGTTTAAAACACACTTCCGAGGTCATCCGCTTCCCCAAGAACACTTTTCTAAGTAAGCTAACTGTAATTGAATGTGCCATCTTCAACTACCGCCCTAAGTCCTGAAAAAAAACGCATGCCCGAGCGGCGGTACGAAATGCTTCAACGGTTCTGCATACCAGTGAGAAACTTCCATGCCCGAAGCCAAATTTCCTACTGAAATCTTGCACCGAGATATCACTGCATGAATAATTTATACTCCCTCTACTAACCAACTATCGAATAACGGTGTTAAAAAAGAAACAATTTAGTTCATTCAAATCTGAGAGCATAAATTGAGAGATCCTGTACTTCAGACTTTCATACTGGGAAATGTAGAGTTTCAAAGTCAGTATAGTAGTCTACATCTTTGCCTATTGTTCTTAGATTTTTTAATCATTCAAAACACCATTTAAATAAAATTATTCGAGTTAGATTGAATTGATGACCGGTTACGAAGCGCATTAACTGAGCAGACTCAATTGTATAACGTTGATGAGGACTGATTACAAATTTATGGGTTTTGTGGAAATATGCCGTCGCAACCACATTTCCTAACATGCTGTTACACTTCCACTTCTGAAGCGGTAAACGGGATAAAGTTTGCTAAAACATAATATAATTCTACTGTTTCACGCAAACTTCCTTTTTCAAAATTCATGATGTATCAGATCTTCAAGTGCTTCACAGTAGTTGATCCAATTATACGAATAAACTATACATCCTTCATAGCACAGCATAGTGATGCCGGCGCTGAAGAGTAGGCCTGATGTGCCCTATCGCCGATTCTTGTACTTTTCGTGACTTGTCCACAGGAGATCTAAAAAGAGGTCCTTCGACCGGATCTTTTCCGAACTGCCGATAGTTTGAAATAGCTACCAGACTTTCATCGAGTTCGATATGGTGCTAGGCGTTTCATGTCTGAACATATGTTTATCCATAGCTTAGTCTAGTCTGTTCTTGAACGCGTTCATCCTCGGAGCGTCAAGAGGTTGCAAGAATACCTCTCTGCAATATGATTGGGCCCAAGCGAACAAAATGCAGTTCAACGGGACCAAGTCTAAGGTTCTGAGATACAGAGGTAGCGGAAGAGCTGGTATGGAGCACCGCTACCTAGCACCTGACAAATCGAAAATCGATGAGAAGTGATTCGTTTGCGATCTAGGAGTGTTGATGAATACTCAGGTCAAGTTTGGTGATCACATAACGGCAAAAACTGCACGATGTAGGCGACGGATGGGGTGGATCTGGCGGACGTTCAGAACAAGAGAAGCGGAACCAATGATCACACTTTTTAGACCCCTTGTAATACCAATCCTTGAATACAGCTAACCGCTTTGGACCCCGTTCACACGCGGCGCAGTGCGGCAAATGGAAGGTGTCCAGCGAACCTTCACTTCCAGGATCAGAGGGATGGAAGAGTTAACTACTGCATGGGAGAGGTTGAAGCACCTGGGTCTGAACTCACGGCAGATCAGGAGACGGGAGAGGTATGTCATTCTGTATACATGGAAAATGATAACCGGAATGGCACCAAACTTCGAGAGCGAGACCTTCAGGATTTAGACATATCATAACGAGAGAAGGGGGAGGCAGTGCAAGATCCCCCCACTACCTAACAGATCTGCATTCAGATTTCAATACCTGCGGGGAGGATCACTATCCGTGGCAGGGCCGAGGCTGTTTAACGTCCTACCAAGGGATCTAAGAGAAGGGGAGTTCACCATGGAGACCTTCAAGAGACGACTGGACGTGTTCCTGGGCACGATCCCCGTTCGACCTCCCCTGCAACACCACCAGCGGCGAAAAGCAAGCAACAGCATCGTGCATCAGCTGGCCCAAATGAGGGCGGATGCGCGATAGTAAGAGGCGGTGATCCATCGTGGCCTAGAACTGCTTCGTCCGAAACAAATACTTGGGATATTAAGGGTCAACCATGTAATCGGGAAGGTTGTTCCACATGTCGGTGATTCGAAGCGAGAAGAAATGTTGTCGCGTGGATGAGTTGCAACGCATTTTTAGCGCATTTTCTCATTTATGGAAAAAATGCACTATTGTACTCGCCATGTCCGTCTGTCCGTCCGTGACTTCACGTTTTCGTCGACGAGAAAATGCGCTCTCTGTCACTCACTGCAGTGAGTACCGAGTTATATTTTCTAGTTTATTTATAGCCGTGACCCCTGGTGTTGGTTCTTTTTTCAAATTCTAGTAATCCCTCTGGGACCTTGTAGACCTTGTACAAACCACGAGTTTACTTGTATACTTCAATTAGGTCCACATGCAGACGTCGATAAAAGAGGCTTGGAAGCTTCATAATCTTTAATCTTTCTTCATAGGACTTTATATACCTTCAAGCCTGGAATTATCCTTGTTACACGTCTTGGAACACTCTATCTACTACATTTTTCTTTCTCTTTAACTTTCGGTGACCATACGTTTCCACACTCTAGATTCGGGCGCACGACAGCAACAAACAACTGCTTCATTGCTTCTGCATCTAGGAACTCTTAAGAGCGTCTGATCAGTCCAAGAAGTTTGTTCAGTTTATTAGCTTGCGTTTCAATATGCCTAGAAAATTTCAGCTCCTTGTTGACATAAACTCCCAAATATTTTTCCACACTAGACTTTTCAATCACTACTCTCCCGTTGCAACCGTGTCTTTTCATACTGTAATCTTGCTTCTCATTGTTCTTCCCAAGTTGAAGTACTTTTCACTTGTCAGCATTAAAACGCAGCTGTCACGTATCAGCCCAGTTAACTAAATTGTCAAGATCATCTTGCAATTGCCCTTTATTTGACGCATCCTTCACTGTATTATAAATTTTTGTATCATCGACATACATGGAGCGCATGCTTGACACTAATTCCGGCAGATCGTTTACAAAAGCAAGGAACAAAACTGGCCCAAGGACGCTTCCTTGTGGCACTGATACCTAGTTGATACGGTTCCGTTAATACTGACACGTTGTCGTCTACCTACTAGAAAATCTCTGATCCATTGGAGTACGTTTCCCTCTATTCCCAAAGACTTCACTTTACGCAACAGCCGTTCATGCGGACTGTCAATTGCTTTGGCGAAATCGAGGTACAGTGCATCCACTGGCTCCCTTTCGTCCAGCAGGCGTGTCCAATCGTTCAACGTAAACAAGAAGTTGGTGGTGTAGGATCTACCGGTAATAAAGCCATGTTGACTGTCTGATAGGAGATGGTGAACAGTCAAGTGATCGATAATCCTATACCCTACAAACAACATTTGTCAGACTTGTTCATATTAGTTCTTGATACGCGACGTGGAAATGGCCCTCCCAATAGTGCTCCATGCGTCGACATCCCGAGGCTCGTCCTTCTTAGGAAAAAATTGCCTAGATTAACCTCAAATTCTGTGAATATTTCCCAACAATGCCTTGAAGTCGAATCTGCAGGGTTCGATAATTAGTTAGAACGCTTGAAGAATGAAATTCAGGTTGCTAGTTCTGTTTTTTTCTAATAGATTTCTCTGAAACATCCAGGATAAATTACATAGAAGGATAAACTTAGAACAAAACACGAAAAGATCTTTGTAGTTTTATTCGTGCTTTGATAAAAAATTTCCATCTTGATATACAAATGATTAAAGGGCGCACGTAAAAAAAACAGGAACGAGAATTTCAAGCGATGGTCAGATACGGGCGCTGCGGGAAAGAAGACATCAAAGAAGGAGAGCTGAGGGAAGGCCTAAGAGGAGACCGCTTCGAAAAACATATTCGGGATTCGGAGCGATGTGGTCGAGGCGGCCAGCTATTCGTGTTGCTTAGGGAGACCAAGCCTGGTGCCGGGCAATCGCTCATCAACACTCCGTCATCCAATGGGGAATGTAGGCGGGAGTTAAGAGGTGACAGGTCCCTTGATGAGGGATGGTAAGAACTATCGTCGTTCCTGGGAAATGAGGGACTGCGGGCCCGGTGGGTGCTGTTCTTAGGGGAGAGGCATCGGTAACTGCGAGGAGCCTCGGTATATGTCACTGGTAAATGAAATTCAGAGCCTGCATTGACAGTGACTGTAGATTTATGGAGAGGCGGGGGAGAGGACGGAGTGAGCGTGGGAGAGGACGGAGTGAGCGTGGGAGAGGACGGAGTGAGCGTGGGAGAGGACGGAGTGAGCGTGGGAGAGGNGTATAAGAGACAGGGAGTGGCCAGGGAGAGCGTGGGAGAGGCCAGGGGGAGCGTAGTAGGGAAGCATCGTAGAGAGCAGCACTGAGTGACACCGGCGCCACGCCTGCGCATCAAAACACACAACACAAAAGAAGGACGTTAGTAGCGCAGCCACGAGTGTCGTCTCCGCGACTGCTACACAAATGCAGAGCTCGGAACTCCAGCGGCCAACCGCTGACCGCTTTTAAAACTAAATCCACCAATCAGAGCCGCTACGTGAAGTTGTGCGAGCTCTAATAAAGCGGTCCCAGATCACAAAATGTGATCCATGTAGGCAACGTTGAAGCACCATAGAGCGCTGTGAAACGATGATGCGCTGTGAGACGATGGAGCACTAAGATATGATGAAATGTTAAGATATGATGAAGCGCTAAGAGACGATGAAGCGCTAGGAGACGATGAAGCGCTACGATACGATGAAGAGCTGTGAGACAATGAAGCACAGCAATACGATGAAGCGCTGTGAGACAATGAAGCACTGCAATACGATGAAGCACTACGATACGATGAAGCGCTACGCTACGATGAAGCGCTACGATACAATGAAGCGCTACGATACGATGAAGCGCTGTGAGACGATGAAGCACTGCAATACGATGAAGCGCTACGATACGATGAAGCGCTACGATACGATGAAGCGCTACGATACGATGAAGCGCTACGATACGATGAAGCGCTACGATACGATGAAGCGCTACGATACGATGAAGCGCTACGATACGATGAAGCGCTACGATACGATGAAGCGCTACGATACGATGAAGCGCTACGATACGATGAAGCGCTACGATACGATGAAGCGCTACGATACGATGAAGCGCTACGATACGATGAAGCGCTACGATACGATGAAGCGCTACGATACGNGTTCTGGCGTCCTCAGGGTTAGGGGTTGCGGGGTCGGGAGTGATGGGGTTAGGGGAAATGAAGAGAGTAGAGCTCACAGATCGCTGAATGGAGAAGCAGTGAGAAAAGTTGAAGCAGGAAGGGAAATGGCTGTGCAGCGGCGAAGGATGAGCACCCACGGATGCGGGAGGAGCAAGCAAGGTAGAGTGATGAGGGAGAAGGAAAGAAGGCAGGCAAGGCAACGAGGAACGGTGCCGGAACACTAGAGACGATCTTAGGAAAGAGATGTGAGAGAGAGGAGGAGAAGGGGACTGGATGGGGACACTGAGCAAAGACGGCGTCGAACCGCGACCCTCGTTGGAGATATGAGACGCGGGGAAGGTGTGTAGGTGCTGTGGGGTCTTTGTTGTGGGGCAGCCCTGGATGGGGAGAGTGGGTGTAGAGTGGGAGTGTGCAGGCGGTCTAGTAGACCACTTGGTAGCCTGCGGGGAAAACATCCATTGTTATAACTAATTTTCAATCACAGCATTAATTGATGAACAAACATACCACACATGTTACATTGCCCTTGAATTGATTAGAGCGTCTATAATTATGACTTAAATTATACTATAGTTTGAAGGAGAATTAGATCTGTCTCCTATACACATCTAGATGTGTATAAGAGAAACTCCCAGAACAAAGCAACACATACAGAGCAAAATGCAACAATAGAAGTATGCTACACAACAGCATTACATTACCTAACATTACAAACTCAACAGAACAATGAGAACCAACAAACCTTACTTAAAATAAACACCTTATTTCTTTCTATTGTCATTGTAAACGGTGATCATAATAGACAATGAACGCAACGTTCACCCCCAACAATAAATCTTAGCAACAACGAAGCGACTAACACGCGTCTTAATTATATTTGCATACAAATAATTACCCCAGATAGTAGGCATAAAAAACATGAATTCATGTTCATGCGGCCACAATACTGGACATGTTTAAGACCCGTATGCATATAAATGCATCAAGTCGCCTAACTCTCTTTATAATTATCATGGCGTTATTTCATACGGAGCGCCATTATATAAAATTAAGAATTTATCCTATGAATTTTTTCGACGCGAACAGGATAGGAGTATGAATGTACAATTTGAGATTCTGCTGTACTCTTTCCGATACAAAATTCGAACTGAATATAAAATTAGAACAATAATAAAGAACGTGCAGATAATTCAAATAATTACTAATTCCGTAACAGTTACAAAGTAAAAGTGAAAACAAGAGCTCGAGAATTTGTACATTGATGAATCAGGCCAATACTACAACAAAGTACAAATCTACCAGACGGACGAAACAGGTAATACCGGAGACGAAAACATTACCTTAACGCACAGGTCTCCAAACGGTTACGGAAAAAGTATAGTATGTACTGCACTACACCATCATCGTAAACAATATCTTCTTGTGTTATCCTTTGCATTTGTTTCGGACGTAGCAGTCCCAGGCCACGATGGTTAGACTATGATCAATCAGGAATCACAAACTCTATCAAGAGATCCACAAAGGAAAAAATTTGGAGACCCCTGCGTTAATAAACACGTGACTCTTCCAACACGGAAACAAAACCAGCATGCAAAGACACACTACACAACACTAGTTAGTCACTCGAAGCTGCAACTCACATTTCGAGGACTCCTTTGAGCTGCTCGAGTTTTCCTTTCTTCTCCTCGATCTCAGTGTCAGCTTTGTGCTGCTCGATCTCAACGAGCAAACTTCTGGCGATGTCGAGAATCTCTTGAAGCTGCTTAGGTTTTTTTAGTTTCACGTGACCGTCTTTGAAGCCATCGTACTTGGCGAACAGCTCGAAGAACCTGCCGCATTGTTTAACAAATATTAGCTCTAGAATACACTGCATCAAATGGTATCTTAATTTATATACACACGAAACTCTGGAAAAACTATCAAGAGGTAAACTTGAATTGGAATGGGGCTTTTAACGAGAAAAATAGCGAATGAGAAAAAAACGACATAATTTAATGAGATATACAGTTTGGAGACGTGAAATAAATTGTAAGCAATCGTTGCAAGAACACCCAGGTCCAGCAGGGAACTACCACTGTAAAATCTTCAGTAAAAGGTGGCGAAGGACTCAGTTTTCCCGTATTACATCTGTCGAACACGCAAGTGAAAACGATTTACTGATGAATAAAAGGTTTGTTCAAATTTAGCATCTGTGTGCGCCAAAATGCTCACTTGCAAGGATAGCGTTCGTCATCAAAAGGGGGGAGGGTGCAGTGAAAATGAACTGGGAGCTCCAACATGTCATACAACGTGATCAGGAAGAAGGCTTACTAAATCGAAGCAAATTGCTAACAGCCAGGATGAGTTTCAAGTAAAGATAATATATCATGGCTAATATTCACGTTTACGATTATCATTGAGAGCGGGTGATGTCGAAGAGTGTATTTGGTACGGCACAAAAACTGCGCTCACAAGAAATATGGCAAGCACTTACTTTGGGTGTCGCACCTCCATCTTCATCTTCTGCTTCGGGGTGCGATCGCCGTGTCTGATCACGGCTACCAGACATCGCAGCTCCATCCTGTACGATAGGTAATATATTCTTAGCATTACAGAATGTTGGTAATAAAAAATATTTCTTATTAAATGTATGGTGTATCACTGAATAGGCATTATATTCGACAGATATTGCAAGGCATTTAAAATATTTCCCGTGAGCCCAACTCCAGATCATGCACTATTTACCGTCCCATATCTCCCATAGTGTAAAAAAATAAAGACTTTTGCGACCGTTCAACAAAAGAGTAATCGATGACAAGATAACAAAGTTTCGTAATATTATGTATCATGAATTATCGAGTCGCAATCGAGTAAATAATTTAGATACTCCCTGTATAAATTTGACTCAAATGTTACATATGGAGAAGCGCCTACATTTTGCCGAGATCGAGTGAATAATTAATATATTTCCTCTACAAAATTGACCCAAATGCGACATAAGAAGAAGCGCCTACATTTTGCCGAGGGTCGTGGGTACGATGGGAGGGTCGTCGAGCTGGAAGGGCATGGCCCAGGGGATATGGAAGGCAGGGGCGAGCTCCCTGAGGATCATGTTGCCCAGGATACGTGCGCAGTCGTGGTAATATTTACTCGAGTTCTTCACGAAGCTGAAGCCGTTCACGTCACACACGTACGACTTGCCGTTAGCCCTGAAGCGTACATGGCAATTAGATATTTGTTATAAAGTTGGAATCCATAGCTTGTCGTCAGTTCAGTGCCGCTTAGTTTCATAACGTTAGTTGAGTGAAAATATTCACTAAATCGTGGTAGTATTTACTAGAGTTCTTTACGAAGCGGAAGCCGTTCACGTCACACACGTACGACTTGCCATTTGCCCTGAAGATGTATATTTCATCGTAGATGTAGTAACGTAATTCATGCTGTTATCAAATTAAAATTAAAATATCATGGCATTTAGACATTTGTTATAAAGTTGGAATCCATAGCTTGTCGTTAGCTCAGTGCAGCATAGAAGAAATGATAATGAAGTTAAAAGATGTTGAAAGTAACGATTGCCGTTAGTTTCATAAGGTTTATCGGGTGAAATTTTTCATTAAATTTTCGGCTAATGCATTAAATTTTCATTGCTTATAGTAAGTAAAATAATGCCTAAAGAGAAAGGCATAGGCATAAAAAGTTCATCATTTACGTGGACTGAAAAGTTTGAAATAATTTCATCTTGAAAGCGTAGTTATCCATTACCATTACGTAGATATCCATAAAGGAAGGCCTATGCATAAAAAGCTTATCATTTACGTGAACTGAAAAGCTCCAAGTAATTTTACATTGAAAGCGTAGATATCCATTACCTGAGGAGGTCGAAGCCACAGACGGTTTGCTTGAAGGCCGTGCAGACCTTCCTAGCGATGATCTTCTCCTGATGGGAGAGGATGACGGGATAGCGCACCTCCTTCCCGTCCCTGTCGCGCTCAACCTTCCCGTCCAGTGCGGGACTCTTGCGCGCCTCAGCGTGCGCGTAGTCTGGTCCCACCGTGTACACCTGAGACGTCCCCAGTCTTGTCTTAGAACTTTGTTATCATGACATTATAGTTGAGGTTTTGTTGCGTTGACGCTTATATAATCTGGTGCTTTCAGTTGTTCTAATGACATTGGAGTTGAGATTTTATTGGGTTGAGATTAATGTAATTTGAAGCTTTCAGTAATTCTCGTGACATTGTAGTTTGATATTTTGTTTGGTTGATATTTAGGTAATCTGATGCTTTCAGTTGTTGTGATGACATTGGAGTTGTGATTTTGTTTGGTTGATATTTAGATAATCTGATGCTTTCAGTTGTTCTGGTGACATTTAGGTCATCTGATGCTTGAAATGTTCTGATGACATTCATGTATCTGATGCTTTCAGTTGTTCTGGTGACAATTGGATAATTTGATGCCTGAATTTGTCCTGACATTTCCGTAGATGTTTAGGCAACAATTAACATTGAGGCATGTCGTCATGCAACGATTATAACAAGTCTTTGGCAAAATGACGAGTTTAGATGCCGAGTCGTCAAGATAGCAATGCCAGACTCTAAATGCGACTAAATGCCGAGTCGTCAAGATAGCAATGCCAGACTGTAAATAAGACTAGACTAAATGCCGAGTCGTCAAGATAGCAACGCCAGACTCTAAATAAGACTAAATGCAGAGTCGTCAAGATAGCAATGCCAGACTGTAAATAAGACTAGACTAAATGCCGAGTCGTCAAGATAGCAACGCCAGACTCTAAATAAGACTAAATGCAGAGTCGTCAAGATAGCAATGCCAGACTGTAAATAAGACTAGACTAAATGCAGAGTCGTCAAGATAGCAATGCCAGACTCTAAATAAGACTAAATGCAGAGTCGTCAAGATAGTTAGTTAGTTAGTTTAGTGGCCAAATGTTTACTAGCGCTTCAGCTATTTAGCTGTCTCGCACCGAAAGTCAAGATGAACATCACCATAGAGGTGGAAGGTCTCGATTATTCATCACCCACAAGGGGCGGAAGGTCTCAATTGTCCAGCCCGCTGAAGCTGGCTCGAAAGAAGCAGCGTTAGCATCTCAAAGAGACGAAGTGACAAGGAGGGACAGGTGAAAAGCAACAGAAACTAAGACACTCGAACAAGAGGTCGCTTACACGGGACGTCGGCCGCCCGCACGAGAGAGACAGAGAAGGGAAATAGCAATGCCAGACTCTAAATGCGACTAAATGCCGAGTCGTCAAGATAACATAGGCGTTAGACAAAAAAGAATGCATATGCCCATAAGAAATTATTATCAAGATTGTTGGTGCAACATGGAGCGCACCTTGACATCGGTGCCGTCGGTAGGCATGAAGTCCTCGTAGATGTAGGAGCCTGCCTTGCGGACGTGGCTCTCTGAGAAGTAGACGCTGCTGCGGCTGCCGATCTGAAACGTTGGTAAGTATAAGGAAGGCTAGCGTAATTCATGCAGTTATCTATTTAAAAAAACGATCGTTGTGTTTAATCACAGCTTTGTGTTCATGCATCACAAATACCTACAGAAAGATGAGTGTAATATACATTGCTCTCCGAGAAGTAGACGCTGCTTCGGTTGCCGATCTGAAACATTGGTAAGTATAATAAACGCTAGCGTAACTCATGCAGTTATCTATTTAAAAAATATAACTCCGTACTCACTGCAGTGAGTGACAGAGCGCGCATTTTCTCGTCGACGAAAACGTGAAGTCACGGACGGACAGACAGACGGACAGACGGACATGGCTAGCACAATAGCGCCTTTTTCGATAAATGAGAAAATGCGCTAAAACAACCGTTGTGTTATATCACAGCTTAGTGTTCGTGCATCACAAATACTTACAGACAGAGGAGTGTATATATACATACATTCACAGCACGGCCTTGTGTACAAGTAAGTAACTACTTCTAAATAAAAGTTCTTAACAAAAGCACGACATGCTGCGCTATTTTATACAAAAACATACAGGTTTGAACATTTTGAAAGAAAGCACAGAGAAAATAAATGTTCAAGACATGCGCATTGTTGGATTCATACAAAGGAATTTTACATTATATCTACGAATAGAAAAATGCAGTTATACGAATAAAAACCACAGCAATCTACTGGTATAATTTATAGAAAACATGCCAAATGCTTCAACGTCATCGCAGTATTTTTCAGACATTACACACTAATGAACGAATAAATAAAAACAGAAATCGTTATAAGTTATAAATAAGATAAGAGGTTATATAAGAGGTTATAAATTATACATCAGAGGAATATTTTCAAAGTCAGCAAATCCATCAATCCTCTTACATGATCAAAATATGTCATATTATACGTATTTATACATATAGCCCTTGTTTATTTATAGCCTAAGGAATACCTAGCTCCACACCGTCGTATAGTTGAGGCAATAATAATCAAATTAAGTTAAACATGGACGACTTCGCTTCCTAACAAATAGAAACTAAATAACATAAATGCAAAAAATAACATATATAAGCACCTTCCTGAAGAGCCTCTGTGAGCCGCCTCCAGCCGAGGTAGGATAGTAGATGTATATGTTGTGGTCTTCAGCCGACACAGGTTTCTCTACGAAGGGCTTATTGAATACAACACCATTTACTTCAACATGGTCCTCGCCTTCGATCAGGTTGCATTCTGCTCAATCACAAGATAACAATTGCAGATCAAAACAAACGAATTCACTTTTTGACGGTACGTTGGCTTGCATACTATCACCAACCAGCTCAATAAAAAATAATCATTTCTATTCATTACGGTAGGCATGAATCAAGTCAAGTTTTACGGTACAATAAAAACTGCCATATAGTGCCCCCATTTTGGCAAGAATGACCTAGTTACATTATTAGATGTTTGCGGTTTTCATTGGAAAGAAATTTTGTAAATACGTTCAACCAGAAATGAATGATTTTTTTAGTATAAAATTTCATTTACGAGACCAAGTTTACTCACTCGTAGGGTCCGTGCGGTCGAGGATGGCGAAACGGGGCATATCGATGCCCTCTCTCTGCAGTATCTTGTACACCGCAATGCGGTTCTGCTGGCAGACAAATGACAACTTTGTCATACCTTTGTTAAAATAGCACGAATATACATTTCCCAATTACAGGAACCATCACCGTATTTGGCTTTGGATATCAACAGTTTATCGCTTGCATGATATGACATCACATGAAACCTCACCTACAATAACAATACTGGGGTTGACGTTTTAAGTACAAAAATATTGCTAGAAAGAACACGAAGACAACATTGACAGGTCTTCATGATGAATAATCATAAAAAACACCAATAGTTATTATATGATCTAAAAACGGAGACGTAAAAAAACTAAAAGAAGGGCAGACCTGTACGTCATGCTGCATGTCAAGGTTGTTGATGACGTATGGCTTCCTGAGGGCTGCGTATGCCTGGGCTTTCTCTAGAGGGAAGCCTACGCTGTGGAAACTAATGAGGCAGTCGCATAGCGGCCACTCTTCAATGGGACTCTGCGCAAGAGGTAAGTAGGTAGACATTAAGTTATAGGGAGATTTAAAAGTTTAGCCTTAGCACATTATTCGTGCCTGTTTACACAGCGAAGAAGCCGACGCACATTGTAAGGGTCACCGAACATCAAATGAACGACTAATATTAGTAGATGTAGTTTTGCAGCATCTAACTATATAGTATACCACCTACCGGTAGATGGTACAGAAAAGACGGCAGATAACGAGACATTAAAGCAAAACATAATAATAATAATAAAGCCTCACCTGAAAAACGCTAATAAAAATCATCGAAAAATGCTATGTAAAATATTATATCAAACAGCAGACATATGGCAGGAGGATGCGGACCTTAAGGATGACCTCCTCGGGGAAGATGGTGGTGACGATGTACTCGAACTCCTCCATCCTGGTGAGGATCTCACGCATGGGCTTCGAGTTGGACTTCTTGGCCATGGCACAGATGCCCACGATGACCTTCTTGTTGGAATCAACTTCACATTCATCGTCGGTGATGCCGTTGTCGGCCGTCGTGGCAGACATGTTGGAGTTCATTGGGACTTGCCGCAACCGAGTTCTGGCGTCCTCAGGGTTAGGGGTTGCGGGGTCGGGAGTGATGGGGTTAGGGGAAATGAAGAGAGTAGAGCTCACAGATCGCTGAATGGAGAAGCAGTGAGAAAAGTTGAAGCAGGAAGGGAAATGGCTGTGCAGCGGCGAAGGATGAGCACCCACGGATGCGGGAGGAGCAAGCAAGGTAGAGTGATGAGGGAGAAGGAAAGAAGGCAGGCAAGGCAACGAGGAACGGTGCCGGAACACTAGAGACGATCTTAGGAAAGAGATGTGAGAGAGAGGAGGAGAAGGGGACTGGATGGGGACACTGAGCAAAGACGGCGTCGAACCGCGACCCTCGTTGGAGATATGAGACGCGGGGAAGGTGTGTAGGTGCTGTGGGGTCTTTGTTGTGGGGCAGCCCTGGATGGGGAGAGTGGGTGTAGAGTGGGAGTGTGCAGGCGGTCTAGTAGACCACTTGGTAGCCTGCGGGGAAAACATCCATTGTTATAACTAATTTTCAATCACAGCATTAATTGATGAACAAACATACCACACATGTTACATTGCCCTTGAATTGATTAGAGCGTCTATAATTATGACTTAAATTATACTATAGTTTGAAGGAGAATTAGATAATTAATAACTTGAGTTATTAAAGTCATTGGAAGTTAGATTGAAGGCATTGAGAATGCAATAGGAACATGGGTTGAAACGGTGTAATGCTGGTGTAAGCTTATATAAGCTTGATTATTCTCGAAGCCGCGAGACCCGAGGGTTTATTTTTGTGACGGACCAGGGTATCGAAAGAGCTGACCCTTGTGGAACTCGAAACTGTCGCATCGTCCCTTGATAAGCTTATGTGTGCGCGATGTCTGCTCATATTAGACCTCTTAAATAAAGGCTTTCCTAGTGTGGTGACCGTCACGCCAGTACGGTCGGCAGCTCTCTCTACAAACTTCGTTCACGGCCGGCAGGGTCAGATATAACGGCCTCGCAGAACTCCGAGACGTTCATACCACTACGATTCCAATATAATAACGTGTGAAATTTGCGAGTAGCCGCCGTGACTTCGCTTTGTGTACGGTCAACATTCATTTCTACAGTTATGACTTAGCCGTGAGACAATGCGAGAGGCCATGAGACCATCAACGATTTTAACACCGTCAATCAGAAGATAATTTTTTATTATCGGTACAGTCACGATCACCAATAGCTGAAGCACGGCAATGAGCTTGGAGTAACATCATCGACGATGAAGAGTACGCCGCTATTCAAAAGTATGGTCGTTATATATATTCTACGGTTAGACCGGCCGTGATACATCAGTCTAAGCGTGGAGATTACGGCTATGAAGACAATAACTCGCTACGAAGACGGGTACGGCTGCGGTACGACTGCTGGAAAAAAGGCCGCAAACGTGTGCGATAAGTATGGTTATTTACGACAGTCGTACAACTCAACAGAAATGCAACGATTCAACATTTCTGGTAAAAGTAAGCGATTCGAGCGTTGTTAACTGATAGATATTCAACTTTGATTGTGTTCGGATTTTCTTTTCCTGTATTAGAGATTTTCGTAACGTAGAATGTGAACTGGAATTCCACAATTTAATATCAAATGTACGAGTTTTTCATTGCAACCCTCTCTCTGTACGATTTTTGTCGTAACCTATTTCATACGATGACTTATATACGTAAGCGAATACTCCGAATAACGATTAAGACGCTAAGGTCGCAACATGACTAAATTAAAGCAATTACCGAAGAATGAATAATAAAATTATGAAATGAAACAAATCTTCAATCGTGAAAAATTTTTCATAACCTAATCAGAATCGCCTGTCTGAATCTCCACACTTTCAAGTTACACAGTTCACGACATCAACAATAGATCTACGGCCCTATTGATTTATCAACTATGTATCACAAAACCGCAACTAAATTCTCTGCAAATTATATACATACACATCACTGACGACACTCACTACAAATCAGACAATAAACATCAAGCGACGCGCGGCGTACAGTGTCCAGAAGAAGTATGCTTTGCCTAGTCAGTGAGACGCGAAGATATACCAGCACCAGCAGCCATGCACTGTACAGGTGCGCTCCTTGTTGAAACAGGAGCGGAGGAGGGCCATTTGCTGCCCATAGGGACTCGGCCCGCAGCCGCTGCATGGCTCGACACTGCGCCTCTCATTATCGGGATAATTCCGGAAATAATTCAGCCTCGCTTGACCGGGGAATACGTTCGTTTTCCTAGGAATTGTGTTATGGTAGACCTGAAATTTTCGGATTTATAGTGCCGAATCGGGACGATAAAGAATCAGTCTATAGTAATTTGCAAACAAGTTCGTAGAAATTAAGTAACTTCCATCTGAATTATGGACTTTGTGAAGAATTTGGCCCACAAATGCAATTTATTTGCATTAATTTTATTTTGTTCGATATGTGCGGGAGGATGAAACAGATTAACTTGCTTATAAATGCGCTTGCACGACTAATAATGCTGTTTCACATTCTCAGTTTAGTAAAGGTATCTTGTCTCTAAATTAAATGGAGGAGCACATAGGTCTTATAATTCGACCAAGATTAATTTATCCGTAATTATTGCAGCTTAAAAGACTCAATCACTTTGCCCGATTGCCGCTAAATTTTAATGCTAATTCGAAGATAAAATAATAAGGCAAATAATGAAAATGGATTACCCAGTGATTTTCCACACTTCCAGACAAATAAACACTCAAAAACATATGAAAATGTGTAAAGAGTCGCGAGCCTGCCCACGGTTCAGAACTGCAATGGGCGCCTGACATCCACGTTACAAAAGACACTGTAAAGGAGTCATTGGGCTAGTAATTTATTTTACATTTCCATCAACATTAAAGTAAAATAGGTACGTGAAAAAATGAGGCGAAAGTAGTTTCAAAGGATATTAGGTCTTGAAATCTGTAAAATTTCTAATCTGCCAATAACAAATCATCTACATAACGAACATGCTTTGAAAGCTACTAGTAAGATTCGATCGAACAATGTAAAAAGTGCCCTGTAAGGGGGAAAATATTCTTAAATCGATTATGGTATCAAATACTCTGGTAATTCGAGCCGCTCAATCGGGTTACATGATATATTCGATCAAGTAACTATACGAAACATCTAGGAACCATCCGAATATTCAATCAAGGAACAATATGAAATCCGACAGCGATGTTTCCTTTTAGGGAAACATCCGCATGGCGGCTACAGGAAGCGGACAGTAACTGATGTAACACGGGGACTTTCCCTTAGCCGGGGTCTGTGACGGGTGGCGGGTGAATGACGTCACCACCGGAGGGAACTTTACTGAGGGTACAACTAAGGGTTCCAGTTACACAGGAAATCAGGGCTTTCCAGTCACATTTATAGTGCACGAATAAGAAGATTGGTCAAATTTGAAAAAAGACACCTAATGCGATCGTAAAGACGCTTTCAAGACTTTATCCCGGAAAATAATGCTTCGAACGACGTTCGAAACAGCTGCGGCCATCTGAGTATTATGAACCCCCTTTTCCACAAACCACTAACCCTTGTCAAATAATCTCACCACCAAAATAATGCTCAGCATTAATCACAGTCAAGAGCGCAATACGAAACCCCGATTTTTCCAACAGTTTACGACTTTACGCTACTCAGATTTTAAGCAAATAATAGCAGACTATCCAGACGTTGATTAATATCACCAGTCCCTGGGACTTGAGAATCCCATTTTCTTTCATCAAAATCGCAATGATAGCAAAATATCGCTCCTTCTCGAATCAAAAATAAATGCTCGAAAAAAATCCTCAATCAAATAACAACCACTCACTCTAATCTTTTAATGAAATTAGTATAAAATGTGTACTCTACATTCTGTACATACCAGACCCGTAGGTTCTTGCGGCGTCACTCAAGACATAATAATATCAGATATTCGGGTATCCTACAATCATTACACAGCGCAGTCCGATGAAAAATAATCACAGTTTTCCTCATAACGTTAAAAAAAATTTGAATTTCAAACCAAAAGGTGAGGCAGTGACTACTGCGTATGCTAGAAAATGTTAAGATTGGATAGCGAGTCGCGTTTTTAACACATGTCAGATTGCATAAATTTACAACGTTATAATCGAACTGACTAATCGAATTCTCAAGCACGCACTTATGAGACAAGCACATGTGCTTGTGAGTAACAGTCTCTTAAGCAGGCGTCGCAAATTTGTCAACAGGATTACCTTATCGTCAAGGCCAGTCTCCATTAAAAAATGAAATTACATGCTGTAAAACAACAAAACATAAGCAACCTTCTGCAGAAAAAAATTAAACACTCGTCCTTGACGTGATCTCTCGTTTTCTATAACTCGCGACTAGGAACATACTACCAGAAGCGTGCGAAACGAGGCAAAAATCCCAGAGCATCGTTACTGCAATTAAGATTTCCCAAGGTAGTGCCATGAGCGGCAAGGAAGAAGATCTGGTCAACAATTACCGAGGTCTTCATGCAAGCGCTTCCCTAAAGAATGAATGCGTGGCCTTCATAGCATGTGTGGCTCAAGGTAGCGTTTGCGCCCAGCACGATCGATGGCATTCAGACAGTCATGGGGCGGTTCACACGAGCCCAGAGGTTCATTAGGTTCACCTCGAGGCGTGAACAATGAGGTGTGAGGGGTTCACAAGGCGAGGTGAAGGGTTCACAAGGTGAGGTGAAGGGTTCACAAGGTGAGGTGAAGGGTTCACCAGATGATATGCGGGCTGCGGGGGTTCACAAGAAGATGCGATCGAGGCACTCACAAATTGCGATAGTCAGAAGCTATAGAGGCTCCGAGATTTGAAATGTCGTACTAAAATGGATCACTAATCAAGTCTAGGCATTTAATTGAGTTTGTTCTTTAGAAAAATTCTTAATATATCGAAAAATCTAACGGTCAGCTTGAAGTTTACCGTAGACGAAGAAGAGGTGCACTCTAATCATATATTGTGATGTTCAAAATAGAGGATAAAGTACTGCAGTTCCTTTACTGTTGCACGAGGTTCCTCGACGCTCAAGAACTAGTGAAGCTCATACCTAACTGCAAATGGAATGTACTATCATCAGCGCAGTTCGACACGTTAATTAGAGAACCACTCAAAGGAGGCGACAAGGTCTGACACTTAGGATTCGTTACCGGAAGAGCTCATTTCATTTCCTTCTCGGTAAAAGCTCATTGGCCTTTGCACCGAAGAGAAATAGGTACGATTGCAGCACACAGAATGGCTTCAAAATCACGAAGTGCACAGACCTTATGACTATCTCCACTGATGAGAGTGCAAGAGATAAGTCGAGGTAATGAGATTCAAATTCTTTTATTTACAGCTCGTATTTCTCAACTCTTGTGCAGCTTGTGTGTGTTTCCAGGTCTTTGGTGTGCAGTTCCAGTTGATTATATTGTTTCATAACTCATTTGCATTGAAGACTATATTTTTTCGCTTACAATAACATACAGACAATAAATAAATACTTTTATATTTCGGAGAATATAAAGAAAATAAATTCATCCAGGTAAGTAATTTCGTTCCAAGTAAGTTCCAAGAAAGTAATTGGAAAAAAAAAATCAAATTTACGAGGGAAATAGCGACGTATAGAATAGTGACAAGTTTTATACTTTCAGTCAGGTATGTTAGGAGAAGAGAATTGACACCGTGGATCACCACACGAATATACAGGGAACTATAACAAGGAGCTCTTACATAGAGAGGAAAATTAGTAGCGCGTAAAGCTACTGGTAAATGAAACGAGATCAAGGACGTCCCGATATAGCGATGACTGCGTACTGCTGCACGTCTCACGGGGAAAACCTCTATAATAATGGTATGTTATACGGCCTAAAATTGCATGACGACCAATCGATTCAAGGTCTACGTAGCCTTCGTAATCCACACCTAGAAACTCATTTCCCTCGAGGCTCTCTCACGCTCCGTATTTAGCCCCTGAGGTCCAGAGAAAAAAAAAACGAGCGACATCGATCTATATAATTATTGTCGATGTGAGTAATGATAAAAAAATTGCCAACAAATAATACGCAAAATGGATCGGCTTCCTTGTAATTCGGAAGTGTTTATGATATTATTTAAGTTGCCTTCATTTCAAACAATCTTTAAATGAGATGTTTTAAGCCATGAAAGATATTTACATAAACAAATGGCGAGACACAATAAGTTAGGCAGACTCGTCCAAAAATTAAACTAGCAGGTTAACCCGGTGTTGCCGGGATCTTAAAATCCCTCCAATTTTAGAATCCCTTTATAAAGAATGCCAGTCCAAATACCATTACTAATAATAAAGCTGATTCAGGCTAGTTAAAGAAAGACCTGTTCCAACTCACATTTTACATTTAAAAAGAACTCTCGTTTCAGACGCATAGTAAAAAAACTATTTTGCGTCTTGTAAATCAAATATATGACTACCAATTCAAAAACTAAAATTCAATTATTGGTACAATTCTTTCCTCCCAACTTTGTGATCTCTTGATATTTAACCACAAAAAAAATCTGATCAAGGTATTATCACGAGACGAAAATGTCGTAAATACGCGCTCGAACAATATTTAAGGGGCAAGTTGTCAAATACAAGATTAACGGAAACTTGAATATACGCAATCTTTAACGACAACCAACTATCAACCATTAACCTTGCCTAAAACTAACAGTTAAACCCGAAGAAAATAGAGCTAAAAATGCAGTAGGTATGTACCTCGTTTGGTAGATTTTCAGTGTAGCCGAGTGCGACACTGCAGACTGTAGTCGCTTGCAAGCAATCCGTGCAAAAGTTGCAGTGTAAACTGAGCACGACGCTCGAGGCGCTACCCAATCCAGGAGATCCATGGACGTTACTCGTATTAATAGAGTTGTTGGGAGGCGACGAACGAGTTTCTGACATTTTGGCAGAGGGAGCGGAGGAACTTGACTGCTCTGGGAAACTACCAGATAATATGGTCGAGTCTTCAGCGGAAAAAGGATCCCCGCAAATAGAATCTCTTTGGTGAAACGGCGAAGGGATTCCCGAACTTTTCATCGTAAAAAAGGACGTGTCCACCGAATTCTCAGCGAATAATTGTACCCTCTTGACGGCTGTTGTGTTCATTACTGACGACGAATGTCGAGGCATAGAGTCCACGGACGACATAGTGAGGCGGAGTTCGCTTCCCAATTAAATTGCAACGTGTTTGTATACGTCGTACGTTTCTCGCAAGTAATCGATGATGGGTAATACAAGATGTCGATCAATTAAGGAGTGTGGGCTCTTATGGGCGTTCTTTTTCCAGCCAAGATGCGGTCGTCTTAGTTGCTTTTGACTTCAAAGTGCAAATTTAGTCGATAACAAAAATCTACCTTCAGTAAAGGGGTAACATATTTCTGCAGGTAAGAGAGTTTCAAACCACTGCTGTTAACAGCCTAGTTTGAACTTCAGCGAAATTCATGAAAGAGAAAAACTTAATTCAGCCGTCTGGATGTAGGTGGTGAGCTCGTTATGAATCTGAAGACTGTGAAGGTAACGCCCCGATTAGCAAAACTAAAAATAATATCCGATTGATGGTAAGAAGTTCTTCGTAGCAACAGACATGAGCGACTCCGCACCAACCAACCATCCACTACGGCTGAAGGGCGACGACTGCAGCGCCTCATTTTCACTCTAGCAATAATGAGCGTTGGGGAAGCTGGGAAATGATGGCGCAATTATCTCGCTATTTCGAGAGCTCCAACGGAATTTAACTATTCCTCATGTTCCTAAAAGTATTTTTTTTATCAACGGATCATCAAGATCACAGACGCACGCACGCCATTTTCAATTGATCTTTGGATAAAAATTGTCGAAATCATTAATAGAATTCAAGTGAATTTCAAGTAAATTTTCCTATAAAATATAAGGTCTCAAACTCGTCCCGCGACAACGCATGAAAATGAAAATACCTAAAAGTATTTTTTTTTTATCAACGGATCACCAAAATCACAGACGCACGCAAGCAATTTTCAATTGATATTGGGGTACAAATTGCCATCAATAAAATTTAAGTAAAGTAAGGAATTCACACTCACACCATCGATAAATTTTCCTGCAAAATAAGCTCTCAAACTCATCCCGCGACAACGCATGACAATGAAGGTAATTCCAGTCTGATGAGAGCTCAAGCATCAATTATTAGTAGTAGGATCTTGCGTGCAATTTCAGCGTCATAAATAACGAATATCCAATTATAAAAATTATGTTTCTTTTCTTACACTCTGATTGCTTTATAGGTTGCCGAGACGGAGATAATGGAGAAATGTTAGTTGATTATTGTTCGACAATCGCAACATTATGATGAAATGTCAGTGAAACCATCTACACACGATGTCACGACGATCGTAAAAAGGCCTGTGAAGGCATGCCATTTATGCGACATTTTCTGGCATTGGGCGAGATAGTTTCCCGGGTTTGCGACACTTCCGGTTCCGGAAGTCCTCAATAGCAGAGGAAAAAGGTGCAAACAGAGCGAAAATGATAACTTGGAAATAGTGCTGATGGTATTCTATTTGCCTACAATAATGCATGAAAATATCATGCACACATATTTATCAAAGATTGTTTGTGAATGTGTACCTATATAGGTATATGTATTTATTTCCACCAAAATATCAATGTTTAATGCTTCTTCTAACTTGAAAATGAATGTTTGTTGCATTCGAAACGTCGTTAATAAAGAAAAACTACTTTCTGAAACTTGCCTTTTTATCTACCGTCATCTGAAGAAAAGTTCCACTCCCTGATAATATAAACCAACGAATTCTCTGGTCATCAATCGCACGTGTGTAAACAAGTAAATCCTGCCATCTAATAATAATATAGGTATATATGGACGGTTCGGGATATTCACGATATCTATACTTTCGGGATATTATTCGAGCTATCCAGTTATCAGTTAGGGATAAATGGAAGGAAAGAATTGAATTTAAAACTAATATTTGATTTTAAAATTATATAGAATTGTATGTAAAACACGCAAAATATATATTTTTGGGGACAAGAATTAAATGGAAATTTTACGTTCTTTGTAAATTGGGTTTGGAACGCCTCTTATTAATTGATCCCTTAGGTTTATGTAACTAACGGGTTTTGGAATTACGGTACCGTATCCAGGATAACAGTATTCTAAAATTGGAGTGATTGTCGATCCCGAGCAACGTCGGGCTAACCTTCAAATTGGCAATAAAATTCAATCGAATTTTGTTACAAATGAAGGAGTGAACTCTTGACTAAAAATTAATTAACCCACGCATACATACGAAAAAAATTCCACTGTTACATAAATAACTTTCAGCCACATGAAAAAAATCTTTTTCTTCTAAAGTCCTTTTCCGAAAAACAAATTCTTCGGTCTCGTCACCGGTTAGAGACGAATGACACGACACACGGGCAACAGAATGAAAATGTTTTGTGGACGAACAACAAAACTGTATTATGCGAGGGTGACAGAACGAAATCGCATCGTTGGTAATGAATGAATTTGCATCTTAAGCTACGGCATTTAATTGCATCTTGAGTAATTGAATGAAGTTGTATGGAGAGACTATATATATGTCTACAAGTTGTAAAGCGCTCATAAATTTATGGAATTGAGATGGCGATCAAACGTGACCCAATGTTACATGGTGCTGGGATTGACGTCTGACAACGGCTCGGCGTGGCTTAGAAGGCCAGAGGCAGAATATGGTCACTGGCCGTGGCCAGCCCACTCAAACACCAAAACGGTCGGGTTATTTTCTTCAAATGATATAGGTACTACATTATACACATCCGAGATGTATGTGTATAATCTATACACATACGATATATACTTCAAGTAATTAGGAATATTGTTTTGCGAGTTATAGCTGTAAATTAGGAATTATCTGCTCAGGGCCGAAATAAAAATAACGTAGAATAATTCGGTACTCACTTCAAGTGCCTGAAGAAGTCCACCCTCGTAAGAGCGTCGTTTTCTTCGAGAGCGTAGAACTTTTACAGAAAACTAACACCATGCAATATTATTTGGCTGACGGTTATAAATGATGGCTTGCACGATTCAAATGTCACACAAAAAAATTACAGGTTCATTCATGACCTGTAAACTCGACAATAAAATCACTTCACTCGATCAACATTCCTAGCACTAAACATGTAGCAAAAAGCTGATGAGGAGGGGAGAAAGAATAATTTATTAGTAATATTCAAGCTAACTTTTCACTATGACATGATATTATATTCAGAAATTTATAGTCCCAGGTCACTGATAACATTGAGAAGCGAGATGTTGAAACACTGGAGAGGTATGAGTTGTGAGGAGAGTTAGTATTATTCATCAATCAATCAGCAATTGGGTAGCATGCATCTCTGTACTCTCTAAGCCACACAGGCTGACACAGCCACTGTAAGTGTGAGGCTGAGTGTCAGCCAGTGGTTCCACTAATAGGCCATAGTCCGGGTTGTTAAGCAAAAAAGTACCCAGTCAGGTTTGGGTGAGAAAAGGATACCTAGGCCTTAAAGCAAGAAATTAAAAACAAGGACATAATTTAGGAAAAACTGGATGTTAGGAGCATTTCATCAGTGTCATTTGAAAACTAATATCAAGAGATTATGACACAACTTGCAGATACAATTATATAAATCTCACTCAACATTGACATGGAAATAGAATACTACATATCATTGAATAGCTACCTTCATCCTCTAGTAAGAAAGACCAAAGCTAAAAGGAGATTATTTTGACCAATAAAATTGTATTGTTAGATAACATCATAAATATAGTAATAAAATTATGGTAAACTTATGCAAGACAATTAATTTCTGCTCTTGAAACACATTTCATTGATCTACTCCTAATATTTTGACTTAATACTGGATAAATGACCATCATCCCCATGGCATTTTAATAACTATATACAAATGAGGATCAGGGAATTTGGCACCCCACCAAGTTAGTAACCCAACATAGTCATGTTCTTAACTTGCATTTCATTCAGTCACTATAGAGGAAACAATATTTCTTCATCAATTGACATATCAAGTTAGTCCTAACATAAAGATGTTAATCATTCTACAACTGCCACACTCCTAAAAACTTTAAATATTACAGGCAAAAAACACTAGGGAATGAAGCTTCATGTGCAAAACAAGTCATTCATCAAGGGCCACATTTTAAACTTGGTCAGTTCCAAACATTTTTTACCAAGCCGAACTGATCTTGATTATTAGATGAAGGGACCGAGTCTGCTTCAGGCAGCCCTCCTACATGAAGAGAAGCATCAACGTTTGTTGGGTTGTCAATTTCAGCATAACAATCTGTTTGGTCTTGCAAATCTTCAGTGCCATAAGTCAATGGCTGGAAGTCATCAAGTACATCTGTTTCCTCCTTCATACAGCTGCTTTGTACTTGTGTTTCTAACAGGTTAGGTTTGTCATGCAATGCACTGCACTGAGAAGGATCCAGCATATCCAATTGCTGAGGCAGCAATGACTTTTGATGTTCTGTAAACTTTGTTTCATGTGCTTTCACACACTTAGAGAAGTGATCAAAATTAAAACTCCCCATGAAAACAGGCTTTGCTACCATGTCTGTGCTGTAAGACTGGTCTAAACCAAGCTCCACACACTTTTCACAGAATGAAAACTGACAAGCATATCCATTGTTATCACTGATAAATCTTTTGCTGGAGTCACTGAAACTTCCTTGTGTATAGAGCTGTTTTGGAGAATCAGCAACATAACTATGAGTGAGTGCATTGGACCCATCTCCTCTGTTCACATTTATTTGAGAATGAATTCCTACATGTTTGGGCAGCTCACAAGTCAATTTTTCATGACTCAAACAAGGGTCATTCATCACCAACTCATCAGAATGATGTGAATCTTGTAATAGCAATTTTGTTTTATTAAGATTTTTTTGCATTTGCTTGCTGTGCTGTTGATTTATTTTCTGATCAACATCATAGTCAGACACAAAAAGAAATGGAGGCTTTGGTAAGAGAGCCATTTTAAAACTTCAATAATAATTGGACAGCAAACAACTATCAGGTCATGCAAATAAATATTTTCATGCCCTGTAAAAAACAAATCAGTTCAAATGATTGTCTAGTTAGAATAAAATGTTCCAGCGAATTAACATGCAGTTTTTTTAATTATGTATGAAGACTAATTTTGAAAGGAGATTCATTGCCATACATGACACTTTGAATAAATTTACAATTTCTCAACTTAGAAGCACCTAATTCCAATTATCTGACAACTCAATGAAGGAATTTACATAAAATTACAACCGTCAAACGGGGTAAAAAGGGACGGTTTTGAGTGTTTTTTGTTAATAACTTCTTACCATGAAACATTTCATAAACAAGTTTGGGCTCATTTTAAAGGTCTTTGCAAGGGCTATCGTATGGCATCTCCAAAAAATATCCATATGCTATTTGTAAGGTGCTAGATGCTATATAACTTAATATAAGGCTCCTGAATAACTCTGGAAATGGGGTAAAAAGGGACACATGAAATAAAACTCAATTTTAAACATTTGGAGCATGCAGAGTATACTCATCTATTACTAACAGTGCTCTGAAGTCCTCTTCCTTTGTAGATGATGTAAATGTA